AGTTATAGTACATTCACACTGCGCCATTTAGGCGGTTTTGTTCATTATAGTGAATAATGAGGATGATTTACCATACAAAGTGCTTTCATATAAATGACCTTATTATCAACAAATCAGCTCATTTAAACCAAAAAAATTTCGAATGCAACTCTTATAAATATTTTCCCCACAAGGGAAATTATCAAAATTTGAAATATGTAAATAAACTACAACTGAGTCATGAACAAATATACTGACAAAGTAAGAATTAATTATATATCCCAATTATATATAAAATGTATATAAATGACTAAATATATCAATTATATATTTAATTTTTTTTGCGTAATATATTATTAAATGAAGATTATAAAAGTTTATAAAGTGAACATTTACTCATAATTATAAATGAGCAAGTACCTAAATGAGACTGTGCGCAGGTACTATTACTTGATTCTCATAAATTTTTGACGATCAACTTGAAACAAGAAATACTAGATAGAGTACTAGACGGGAGTTTGTACATATCGGTGGGTACTTACATTAGTACTACATTTCTAATATAGGGTGCAAATTGTTGTTATAACAATTTTTAATCGAGCACTCTCGATAATTCCCACATTTAAAGCATAAACATTAGAAGAAAAAAAACACCATAAGCCAATATTGTTTTTAATATGGTATTATACAAAAGTATTTTGTACTTTTTATACATTCTGGACCTACTATTAATGAGCCAATGTAACTTAGAAGCTTGAAGCTTCATATGTAGTTTTTTCGCTTTAATGTGCTTGCGCCAAATTGGTCGCCTATCTAGGTAAATGCCGAAGTACTTTATACTAACTTCTTGTGAGATATTTATGTCATTGAATAAAAGTACCGAAGAGATAGTCCGATTTAACCTATTCCAACATTTTGACAGCCATACCTTCATCCTAAATAAGTAACATTGAAATTGGCTGAAACCTGACCCACAAAATTACTGTGTCATAATCAAAAGTTGTGATGACAACTATATCACTCATTGGGATTTCAAACAAATAAAGTACATAGAACAAATTGCTAAACACTCTTATTTATGAAACACCAGCAGCAATGAGAAAGTTCAGAAACGCAAATGATCTACACTTGATTTTAAAGGATCTATTTCGTTGACATGGTTCTATTACTGATTAAATGATTGTAGGCAATAGACAGCGAATTTTGTTCAGAAGACTATTATTCCATACTTTATCAAATGCTTATTTAACGTCAATACTTTACTTTATTGAAGAGATTTATTTAGAAAGATACGGCAGTTAGCTTATTTACCTATATAAAGGAAGGGAATGTTTACCTGATTTAGGAATCATTATAAAGAATAATGTTGTTCATCATTTATATAATAACCAAATTTAATAATGGTATTGGGTAGGTTTCTTAAAATGATAGATGGAAATTTTCATGTATCGATGACTTTTCACAGTCTAATTTGTTGTTGATTACTTGAATAATCACAAGTAGTTATGTTTATGTTTCTAAATGTATTTATATTGTCTGAATTTATATTCTTAATTAGTGAAGACCGGAGCACTCTGTGTAATGATGTAGTACATTTTTACCTTAATAAACTTTTCTTATTCCTTGAATCATCAGGCTACCCGCCATGAGAGAGAGAAGTAGAGAATAGAGAATCATATGGTTGGGGTATGTCTTCGACATATATTTGTAATATAAAAGTGGACTGAGAGTGCTCATATTGGACTTTGAAAACTGATGTCCATTCCACGCTGCTGTTTTATTTCTTTCATATACACTTTGCAGAAATTGCAATATTTATTTTTGAAATATTGACATTGCTTAGTTTTAAAAATAAGATTTTTCTGTTTATGATGTTAGACGCCGCTTTGAAGCCCACAAAGCGTATATACACTATTAATTTTCTTTAAAGGAAATCTTTAACAATCGTAGTCAATACAAGAATACTGTTAATTATAGAGTATTTTCCCTAAATCCTGATTGGTACTCATTTAATTTCTATTTTGAAATGGTCTGAAATTTTTGTGAAGAAGTCTGTGATGTATAAAGAAAAGATCCATTATAAAAAATTTTTATACTGTATAAAACTTATTATGGAATTTGTTTATTAATTTTTTATAATGCCTTAATATATGTAGATATGATGTTTGAAAGAAACCTTTGAGAATGTCTTATATACAGTGTTACTAGTATATATGTATGATATAGGTACCGTCTGTCCGTCCTTTTCGAATTTGCAGTATGTCTACAAAGTTCTATAATGTATTCCATTTAGGAAAAAGTATATATATAAGGACGTACACATGCAAATTAAAGTTAATAATGCACTTACATATTTTAGAGTTACTTTAAATTTGATTAACAACTTCATTTAACAAGTGTATTAACAGATGTTTTCAGAAGAAATAGTACTTAACCTTTAGTATCCTTAAAGTTTGAATCAAACACAGTTCTGAAACTGAATCGATCACTACTTTTTGCTACGTTGAAGCCGTTAATGCTGCTGCTTCAAACCAACAATTTTGTCATGTCCTGAGCAGTAAAAATCAACGAGTAACAGGTGAAAGACCATTGCATCCAGAAAAACTCACTGATTGCCGCTGTATAGCATTTGGTTTGGAAGTACCTATGATAGCTCCATAACTTTTTGAAGATGTAACACAAATTGTCGAATTTGATTCACATTATCACCAATTTATACTGAAATTGAAAATATCAAAATGAAATATATGTGGATGCAATAGAGCGGTGTCATAAACCATAAATCATACAACACGTTCGGTTTAATAATTTCACAAATTTCATCAAATTTTGATTATTTGAATTGACCTCTAAGACTATGCGATTTGTTACCACTAGACTTTATTTATGTAGTTACGGCATGATCCTGCTTATGCAGTTAATTTTTAATATATCAGTTCAATGCTAAAAAAGACTTCTGTTTAATTTTGATAAAGTTATCAAAAGTTACTTCAAAATGTTTCAGAATTGCAAGATGTCTCTTGGGGGTATTTCAATGATAATATATTTCATGAACAGTTTTATATATATCTATATATATATATTGTGTTTTATTTAAGTTTATTTTCGGTACTACATGTAACACACCATCACCTCAATGCCACAGACACCAATCCCACTAAAAATAAATAAGATCGACAGTATCCTAAGCACTGCCACAAGGTGCTAAATAAACCTTTAGGAACCTTGAATAGCGAACTTTATTGGCGTTTAGATTGAGTGTGAAGCCTCTAATACCATGTCTCCACTACAAGTAAAGTAGCTTTTGTTGTTTAAATTAAGATTTGTCGTTTACATTGACATGAGTTAATTATTGCATGTGAAAGAGAATTATGTGTCAGAAAGTCCTGCAAACGTTATGGGAGCGCTTTTCTTTGCTCACATTTCAACTGTTAACAGATAATATATAGTTTGCATTATTAGCAGAAATTAATTAATTCAGCATGGAAAACGCAAAAAATGTAAACAATTTAATATATAGTGTAATGCTCATGAAATTGTTCAGAACACGAACGAGAAGCCCCACAAACGAATTAACATGCACTGCATCACAAAAAATTAATAATTATTAAAAACCTACAAAAAGCATTACTTTCCTCTAAATTTAATTAAATGAGAACCCAATTCTTAAATATCTACTGCATATTTACTTTATGAAAACAAAAAACTTTATTAAATATTAAGTACTTCTTTTCGCCATTGAAATATTGAACTTGAAAAAAAATTAAATGCGTAATTAACATATAAAAACATTTATAAATATATATATATATTCATATATATATTTTATTACTTAATAAAAACAAAGATTTTATTAAATGCTTACTTTATCAGTATGTTTGTTTATAGCTCAGCTGTTGCTTATTTATATTTTACATATAAAACATATAAAATATTTTAAATTTCGATCATTTTTCTTGTGGGAAATTTATTTTAAAGCGTTTCATCCTACATTTTAGAGCCTTACAAAGAGCAGGGAAACTCTTTGTATGGATAACGACACTTACTATTAGCTAAATAAACTGGTCTAACGAAGCGAATGATAATTTTCTGTAATACCACATTTACACTGTCTCAATTAGACGATTTTGCTCATTATAGCCACTAATAGGGTAGATTTACCATACAAAGTGCTTTCATATAAATGAGCACATTATAAATAAATCAGCTCATTTAAGGCAAAAAATGTCAAATGCAACCCTTAAAATAAATTTCCCACAAGAGAAACTACCAAAATTTAAAATATTTATCATACGTTTTATACATAAAATGTAAACAAACAACAGCTGAGCTGTAAACGAAGGCACTGAGGAAGTAATTGATAAAATCTTTGTTTTTATAAATTCAGTATGTAGGCCGTGTGCGAGTTCGAATAAATTGAGGTAAAGCAAATTAAAATTTCCTAGGGATTTATTGCACTGCACTTATGTAAATATTTATTTATTGCACTTATTTATTATTATTGTTTAAAAGTTTTCAAATTTATTTATTTGTTTATTAAACATCGTAACACCTAATTGACCTAATTTTTATTTAATTTACCCTACTTGAAAATCACTGCCATACCAACATAATTTACTATTTCCCTCAATTTACTAATTTAATATATAAATTATATATATATTTTTTTTTGTGTAATATATTAAGTGAAAATTATGAAAGTTTTATCACCTGCATAAATGAGCTTATTATAATGTGAACGTTCACTCATTAATATTAATGAGCAAGTGCCTAAATGACACAGTGTGAATGTAATATAAGCGACAATTTAAAAAATAATTTAATTTAATTTAATTTAATTTAAATAACAATTTAACAAAGTGCAGTAATACAATAACAGATCTGTCTAGAAGAATTTAAAATATTTTGATATTTCTCAAAATACATTGCATCATTTTCATATTTTATGTGAAAGAATATTAAAAAAAATATTTTCGAATAATTGAAAATATTTGTTTTCCAATTGTTAACATTTGTTAAAGTGGAAAAATTCATTTAAAGGTAAGTGAATCAATTCGCAAAATTCATACGATTTACAAATTCATGAAAATCTTTCAAAAACGTAATTGTACAATTTTAGAGGAACAGACGTGTTCGTACGAAGAAGAGTTGCCACATATATAATGCAAGAGTTTGAATTTCTTTAATGTTTTGTAGCTTGTAAGCCCTTCACAAACGTCAAAATATTGTTCTGTGTTATTTGTTCTAGTTATGGGTGAAAAAATTGTTGTAAAAGTGTTTTGCTTGAAAAGTAAACAAATTAAGTTATATATATTGATTTAAGCGTTATTATTTGCTATTTTAATATATACGCGATAAATTGTACCTTAAGGTGCCTGCTGTTGTGCACACGTTTGCAAACGTTTTCATAGTAAATAATTGTAGCCGATTCTTAACAATTAATTGCATATTGCGGCAATTACGTTATGGCTAAGCGCCCACATACAGACGACGAAGATTCTAATCTTGTAATTTTAAAATAACATATTTTGTATGTATTGATTAAAAGTAATATATGGATTATTTTGCAGTTAAATATTGCAGAGTTTCAGCCAGTCATCTCTCTGGGAAACCCTTTAACTGATTACAAAAGGTTAATGAGCGAGAATGTGACAATGGATGAATATGTTGCTGATGAAATAATAAATGAAAATTATACGAAAATTGCTGAGGCTACACAGAAATGTATTTGGGAACTGTTATTTGCAGAAAACAATTCATCTAGTGATAATAACACAAAGGCTGCGGAGTTATTAAAAATACATAAAACTGACTCCGCTTTTTACTGTCCATGGGACTACAATAAATGGATTTTGACCCTGCGTGAGGAATTATTAAAAAGAGAAATGCTTGAGTTTTGGCGTAATGTAATAGTTAAGAATGAACTTGGGCCTTGCTGGGCAAGAGACTCAGACTATTTTGATGATATGGATGATAAGGAACCTGAGGAGTTTTATAAACGTGCTGGTTGCATAGCACCATTTTGTAAAGAAACAAGTATAAATAATACAAAAAGCACACAAACCTTTTTGGACACAAAAACTGTTGAAACGCAGACAACTGGAGCTGGTAGAAATGATTCATCCTCTGAAGCTTATGTAGGCTCCAGCACTTCAAGTGTTGAAGCAAGTGAAGGTTTGGCTCCAACTGACGCTGCTAATTCTAATGTAAGCAAAAAATAATATATGTTTTAAAAATGTTAATGAAATGAAATTATTTTCACAGCACAACGACGATTTTGAACCAGTAATCTCATTAGAATCTCCTGTGGAAGATTACAGGTCACTTATATTGAATAAACTTCAATTAAATATTACTTTATCTGAAGACGAGTTAGAAGTAAATTATAAAAAAATAGCAGAAAAGGCACGTGAAATTATTTGGGAGCTACTATTCATTCAAACACCTTTAACCAATGAAAATCAGTTAAAAGCAGCTGAGCTGCTTAAAGAAGTTAAAAGTGACGCTTGTTTTTATGGTCCAGCAGAATATAATAATTGGATTATAACTGTACGCGATGAGTTGCTAAGACAAAACATGATAGAGTTTTGGCGTGATCAAATTGTAAAATTTGAATTGGGTCTTTGCTGGGCTCGAGACTGTGATTGGTTTGATGATATGGACGATTTAGAATCTCTAGAGTTTTATAACCATGCCGGTTGTGAAGCACCATTTAAGGAAGAAATACAGAATTCAGTTCAAAACGATTACAATATTTTTTAAATTATTGAAAAGAACAGCCATATTTGTGAATTTAAATTATTTAAATTATTATTTACTTTATTGATTTAAATTGATAATTTTACAAATTTTTTTAAACTTATATAACCCAGTGTCTAAATTGGCTTGACTTTGGCAAAATTTTATCATATACACGCATTTTTTTACTAATACATAATACATATTTGCCAAAATTTAGCCAATGCAGACGCGCTATAATTGAATACTATATATTGTATTAACAATTTATATAATCTCTTAACGGCATCTGTGCTCTTAGCATTACATTTAATGACATACAGCTAGATATACATTATACATACATACAAAAATACTTAAGAATAACATATACATTTGTTAAACGTAATCAAAGAACCCAATGATATATAAAATAACTATTTTGCTCACTAAACTATTAAAGTGAAGAAAAACAACAATAACGTAAAAAATAATTTATTATCTCATATCTTTTAATGTGAAAATTAAATTAATTAGTTCCATATTTAAAATAATACACTTTGTAAAACATATATATGTAAAAATATAATAAATAATAATAATCTTGAGCAGTTATATATAAAAAACATGTAAAAATATTGTGAACGTTAAATGTAATGTTGAAATCAAATTTCATTTGTGTATATTTATATAACAATTATATTTAGAAACGGTTTCTGTTTACATCCATTATTGTAACAGTGTTTAATTTAAAGGCCCACTTGTAATATAAAAATTAAAAGTAAAATTATATGTTTAAAAACAAGTTTAAAGACTTTTAGTCCCTAGTCAATGTAAAATGACATGAAATAATAATATATATGAATATATATAGATGATATATATTATTTAATACTATATATAACTTTTCGATAGTTGAAAAGCATCTAAAAGAACCCAACTTTCACTTTCTAAACTATAAAGGCCTTAATTCCGATATACCATACCAGTAATCAAAACAAATCAAAATAGTTGACATATATATAATAAATTTATTCGAGCTAAAATTATAGTTGAAATATAAATGAGAAGAAAGGTTGTTACGAATAAGTCAATTTATGACTAAACCCTATGCAAGTGTTTTCTATGACCACGAATATGAAGAGACTAGGAATTAAGAAGACTTATTTCTTATATTGTTAACCATATCGGTGGAGACTTGAACTGTATGAAATCTGTTAAAAGGAATACTATGGCACTTATTAAACTATCACGAACTATAGTTGAAAAGAAAAAAAAATTCAATTTTTTTAACTCTTAGTCGATTGAATGATAGATTTTAAACCATGACACCATTCTTTCAAAGAATAAAGACGATTCTAAGCAAAGGCGCAATGGGTGAACAAAGTAAGCAAGTAAAAAGTGGGCAAATCAATTAAGTGTAAGAAAACACTAAAATTTCAAAAGAAGAACTGCGGTAGTATTGATAATATGAATATATGTGGAAAGAAATTTTGTTTAGGGGTAATCACTACTCTAAAACTCTTTAGAAAAGTGTCTTGATTTATCACCACCACTTAGGCAATAAAGATAATCGACACGAATACTTAATACACTATTTTTATGAATTTAAATACATTTTTTATTAAAAAATAAATGTTGAATAAGAATATATTAAATTTTATAAATTCATATAAATATCTTAAAACGTTATATATGAATATTCAAAATTTAAGTAATGTATATTAATATGCAGTAAAATTGAAAGCAGTTTTTTCCAACCAATTTCATGTCTTCTAATCCATTCAAAACTAAACATTAGACAACTCTGTAATTCGGATAAGAACCGTGTGTGAACGTATCAAAAACCGGGTAAACAGATACTGTACGCAAAACAGCGGTACATCAAAAACCGGTAAAATGTAAAATGGACGAAAAAACCCGAAAATCCAAAACTATGTAAAATTTGATTATTTTTAAGCTTTGTACGTAAAATTTATTTTGTTTTTCTTAACATAAAAAATAAATATACTGAATTTCAGAGATCCGTAGACATTATCAATAACATAAATAGTTAACACTTTTAATAATTGTCAGGGAACAACAACCGAATAATGCAATCAGTACACTTTAGTCCACGTTTAACGTCATTAATAAATTCCCAAACATATCCTTTGTCAAAGTCTTCTACCTTCCTACAGTAGTCAATCAAGTCAATAATTGCCACCCGACATTTAGTGTTCCGCATCAACAAGGTATAAAGACTCATCTGCTGCGCTTCGGTCATACTATACATACATAAATAAAATTAATCCCATAAATGCGTTATATCTAACAATTTCTTACGCTAAATGATCCTGAATACTTTTCAAAACCTTGTAATCTTCATCCATTCGAGACACCAAGTCAATGCAATCCTAAGGTTATGTTATAATTAAATAGAGAAATAGAAGGATGGAACATGTAATAGTTCGCACCTAATATGTAAACTAGTTACTTACAGATATTAGAGGATGTGGTGTAGGATATATGTCCTTTAACACAATATTGAACTCCATTCTGAAATGATCTGATAATTTTATCACATAAAGAAAGAAAATTTATGTGATAAAACTAAAACTAAGAAAAATGTGATAGAAGTTTTTACTAATTTATTATTAAAGTTAACTTTAAAACATTTTGACAGAAATCTTTTGTTAAAAAATTGTAAATTCTAAGATTAAAATTTAAACTTTTTTGTATGTTACTAATCTCTATTTCGAATCGATTCATCATTCTCAATTCCACCATTTAACCGCGTATAAGCCCCCCGCTTCATGGTGTTAGGTATTTTTTCACTCCTCACTTAGATAAACTTTGACATCCAGGTATTTTATTTTTCTTCCCATTATTACTGGAATGTGTATGCAGTTGACAGTCTTTTAGAAACTTCTAACTGAAGTGACTTATACACATAGTTTTGTTCGTTTTCAGAACTCCTTCTTAAGTGATTGGCTGAATTTCTTCGCAATTCATGTTAAAGAAGTATATTTAGGAAGTCAAAATCACACTGTAACTTTCGATGTCTTACAGCCAATACTATTAAAAGAGTTTTCAAGGGATCGTTTGATAAAAATTAAATTATGTACATATAAATATATACATCGATTAATCATATTTAATTATGTTTATTGTGTATCAAAACAATTAAGTGCATTGCATCGTCTGCACCTTGTATCTAGCAACTTATTCGTTTTGTCATTTATTTTTTGGTAATCACAATTGAATCATAGCAAAAGCCGCTATATCTTATTCTTATTGCGTTTGTCATAAAGGGAAGGATTTTATTTTAAAAGATTTTTTATTGAGACTGTTTTCCTGAAATATCCTTAAAACGGTGCGTAGGAGGGTCACTATTTATATTTTGAGCCTTGGCAACACTGATTACTGTCAGGCGGCGATCGACTTACTTCCAAATTTGGCGATGAAACTCCATCTCCATCCTTTACCACTGTGAAACGCTGGTACATTGACTTTAATCGTGGCTACAGTTCGCTCACTGACCAGAAAATATTGATGCTATGCAAGAACTGATATTCGTAATACAAGATCGTCATGCGACATACTGTGAGATTGAGGGCATACATATTGACATACTGTGAGACTAACGCTAAGCATTAGTTCTACTAACATACATAAAATATTGCACGATCATTTAGTCATGCAATGGTGAAAGGTTTGTTCTCGTTGGATCCCATCCCCCATCATTTGACAAAATCTCAAAAAGTTGCTTGTGTCGATTAGTGCATACAAATGCTCAAGAATTACAATGGCGGTGCATCAAAAAACATATATAAGATTCTAACAGGAGACAAATCATGGATATATGTGTCTAAGCCAGAACGTAAACAGCAGTCGACTGTATGAGTCTGTTTGGTTTCAAGATAAACCAAATCCAACAAAAGTTCGTGCTCGAAGCACTTCGAAACAAATGAGCGCTTGTTTTTTCGGGAAAACTGGTCATGTGGCAAATATATCCGTACCATTACAGGTACGCCAATTCCAAATGGTATATAACCATTTGTTTACCGGAAGTCTATCGACTTTTTTACCGACTATTTGAACATTCAAAAAATCGAATTGATGTGTCATCCGCCGTACAGTCCTGATTTGGCCAATGACCCAATGACTTCTTACTCCCGAACGTAAAGAATAAATTGTGTGAACAACGATTTTTCTCGCGGAAGCAATAACGAAGCCTTTAGTTGCATGTCTGAAGAAGATTGGAGAAAATGCTTTGACAAATGGTTCGAATGCATGCAAAAGTGTACGGGTATTAATCATAAAGCAGAATACTTCGAGAAACAATAAAGCAATTTTTAACAAAACAGTATCTTTTCATTATAAGGCTCAAAATATAAATAGTAATCCTCGTGTTCATCCGGACATTTAGCGAGAATAAGAGTATGCGATGGGATTGGTGTCTGCCGATCATACACTGCAACGAACCAAATAAATGTAAAACTAAAGAACTCTAGCGTGCGGTTGAAATTAAAATGAAAATGAAAAAATCTTCAGATTATGATTTAATAACATCAAAAATGCGAATTGAGCTTCCACAGATAGCCGTTAAGTCTTTGTCATAAACATAACGTCTTTATTTGGTGAGGATGTTTTCATTCCATTTGGGAGGAATCGCTAAATCGTATGGACCTTAACTCAATCTATTTCATATAAACCTATACAATTTTAAAATTATTTGAATCGTGGGAGTGGTGTAGCTAGGATTGTGTGAAGTGTGAGACCGTGATACAATATTCTCGAAAGTATTTTTTTTGCAATGCGTTCGCAAAGTATTATCTATAGATTATATTATGAAGACAAAAGTATCTATCTTAATTTCTAAAAACTAGAAGTTCTGTTCTGAAATCTTTGATGCACTTTATATATATATATATATCTACTCTTCTATTACTTTTTTATTATTTTTCATAATTTTTATGTAATTTGTGCGTCTGCAATAAAATGATTTCGGAAGTCTTTCAGAAGAACAAATTGTTTATTAATTAATTAAAAAAAAAGGTTTAAATTTAAACAAAACTGTAACTTGCATGTAAATGATAAATTTAACGATTCTAAATGTATTATTAAATAGTTGTAAATAAAATTTAGACAGAATCACAGTCTTCCTCGATATTAATATTACATGGCATTTGTTGATCCTGTAGTTTTTGTGCATTGTTGTTCACACTTTTAACATCATCCTCAACTTCATCGCTTAATAATACATCAGACATGCAAGCATCATAGTTGTTGCCACGATTTTCTTCCAAAGGTGTATCTTTAGTCTTCATTTCATTATAAAAAACGCTCTCTATTTCACATTTAGAGGTATCATTCATCACAGGTAGAGGTGGATCTAGGGAAAAAAATTATAAATAAATCGATTGAATTTATTTATGTTCTTTAGATAAATTCCTATACTAATATCATAGTAACTAGCAACAACATGATTTTTAGTTGAAATCATTTTATCATTAAATGCATTACCAGGCTCAGGATTTGAGAAATTGATTACATCTTTGCCGTGCCCATTATCTTCTTCATGGCCACCTCCAGCTTGGCGTACACTATCTGACGAATTAATTACTGAAGGATTCTCCATATCTGTTGTTAATGTAGAAGAGGAAAATATTATTATATACCAAACTATTTTTTCAAGTATTATCGCATTAAATAATGAGTTATAATAAGTACCTTCATCATACAAAGCTTCATCATCAGTGGGAACAACATAATCTCCTGGAGCTGAAGAGAAAAGTAAAATATATGAAATGTGAAAATTAAATAGTTTACATATAATAAGGAGTCTGAAATAAACAGTACTATGTAGAAATACATTTCATATTCTTTAGATAAATTCCTATACTGATGTCATAGTAACTAGCAACAACATGATTTTCAGTTGAAATCATTTTATCATTAAATGCATTACCAGGCTCAGGATTTGGGAAATTGATTACATCTTTGCCGTGCCCATTATCTTCTTCATGGCCACCTCCAGCTTGGCGTACACTATCTGACGAATTAATTACTGAAGGATTCTCCATATCTGTTGTTAATGTAGAAGAGAAAAATATTATTATATACCAAACTATTATTTCAAGTATTATCGCATTAAATAATGAGTTATAATAATTACCTTCATCATACAAAGCTTCATCATCAGTGGGAACAACATAATCTCCTGGAGCTGAAGAGAAAAGTAAAATATATGAAATGTGAAAATTAAATAGTTTATAATAAGGAGTCTGAAATAAACAGTACTATGTAGAAATACATTTCATATTCTTTAGATAAATTCCTATACTGATGTCATAGTAACTAGCAACAACATGATTTTCAGTTGAAATCATTTTATCATTAAATGCATTACCAGGCTCAGGATTTGGGAAATTGATTACATCTTTGCCGTGCCCATTATCTTCTTCATGGTCACCTCCATCTTGGCGTACACTATCTGACGAATCAAATACTGTAGGATTCTCCAAATCTGTTGTTAATGTAGAAGAGGAAAATATTGTTATATACCAAACTATTTTTTCAAGTATTATCGCATTAAATAATGAGTTATAATAAGTACCTTCATCATACAAAGCTTCATCATCAGTGGGAACAACATAATCTCCTGGAGCTGAAGAGAAAAGTAAAATATATGAAATGTGAAAATTAAATAGTTTATAATAAGGAGTCTGAAATAAACAGTACTATGTAGAAATACATTTCATATTCTTTAGATAAATTCCTATACTGATGTCATAGTAACTAGCAACAACATGATTTTCAGTTGAAATCATTTTATCATTAAATGCATTACCAGGCTCAGGATTTGAGAAATTGATTACATCTTTGCCGTGCCCATTATCTTCATCATGGCCACCTCCAGCTTGGCGTACACTATCTGACGAATTAATTACTGAAGGATTCTCCATATCTGTTGTTAATGTAGAAGAGGAAAATATTATTATATACCAAACTATTTTTTCAAGTATTATCGCATTAAATAATGAGTTATAATAAGTACCTTCATCATACAAAGCTTCATCATCAGTGGGAACAACATAATCTCCTGGAGCTGAAGAGAAAAGTAAAATATATGAAATGTGAAAATTAAATAGTTTACATATAATAAGGAGTCTGAAATAAACAGTACTATGTAGAAATACATTTCATATTCTTTAGATAAATTCCTATACTGATGTCATAGTAACTAGCAACAACATGATTTTCAGTTGAAATCATTTTATCATTAAATGCATTACCAGGCTCAGGATTTGAGAAATTGATTACATCTTTGCCGTGCCCATTATCTTCTTCATGGCCACCTCCAGCTTGGCGTACACTATCTGACGAATTAATTACTGAAGGATTCTCCATATCTGTTGTTAATGTAGAAGAGAAAAATATTATTATATACCAAACTATTATTTCAAGTATTATCGCATTAAATAATGAGTTATAATAATTACCTTCATCATACAAAGCTTCATCATCAGTGGGAACAACATAATCTCCTGGAGCTGAAGAGAAAAGTAAAATATATGAAATGTGAAAATTAAATAGTTTATAATAAGGAGTCTGAAATAAACAGTACTATGTAGAAATACATTTCATATTCTTTAGATAAATTCCTATACTGATGTCATAGTAACTAGCAACAACATGATTTTCAGTTGAAATCATTTTATCATTAAATGCATTACCAGGCTCAGGATTTGGGAAATTGATTACATCTTTGCCGTGCCCATTATCTTCTTCATGGTCACCTCCATCTTGGCGTACACTATCTGACGAATCAAATACTGTAGGATTCTCCAAATCTGTTGTTAATGTAGAAGAGGAAAATATTGTTATATACCAAACTATTTTTTCAAGTATTATCGCATTAAATAATGAGTTATAATAAGTACCTTCATCATACAAAGCTTCATCATCAGTGGGAACAACATAATCTCCTGGAGCTGAAGAGAAAAGTAAAATATATGAAATGTGAAAATTAAATAGTTTATAATAAGGAGTCTGAAATAAACAGTACTATGTAGAAATACATTTCATATTCTTTAGATAAATTCCTATACTGATGTCATAGTAACTAGCAACAACATGATTTTCAGTTGAAATCATTTTATCATTAAATGCATTACCAGGCTCAGGATTTGAGAAATTGATTACATCTTTGCCGTGCCCATTATCTTCTTCATGGCCACCTCCAGCTTGGCGTACACTATCTGACGAATTAATTACTGAAGGATTCTCCATATCTGTTGTTAATGTAGAAGAGAAAAATATTATTATATACCAAACTATTATTTCAAGTATTATCGCATTAAATAATGAGTTATAATAATTACCTTCATCATACAAAGCTTCATCATCAGTGGGAACAACATAATCTCCTGGAGCTGAAGAGAAAAGTAAAATATATGAAATGTGAAAATTAAATAGTTTATAATAAGGAGTCTGAAATAAACAGTACTATGTAGAAATACATTTCATATTCTTTAGATAAATTCCTATACTGATGTCATAGTAACTAGCAACAACATGATTTTCAGTTGAAATCATTTTATCATTAAATGCATTACCAGGCTCAGGATTTGGGAAATTGATTACATCTTTGCCGTGCCCATTATCTTCTTCATGGTCACCTCCATCTTGGCGTACACTATCTGACGAATCAAATACTGTAGGATTCTCCAAATCTGTTGTTAATGTAGAAGAGGAAAATATTGTTATATACCAAACTATTTTTTCAAGTATTATCGCATTAAATAATGAGTTATAATAAGTACCTTCATCATACAAAGCTTCATCATCAGTGGGAACAACATAATCTCCTGGAGCTGAAGAGAAAAGTAAAATATATGAAATGTGAAAATTAAATAGTTTACATATAATAAGGAGTCTGAAATAAACAGTACTATGTAGAAATACATTTCATATTCTTTAGATAAATTCCTATACTGATGTCATAGTAACTAGCAACAACATGATTTTCAGTTGAAATCATTTTATCATTAAATGCATTACCAGGCTCAGGATTTGGGAAATTGATTACATCTTTGCCGTGCCCATTATCTTCTTCATGGCCACCTCCAGCTTGGCGTACACTATCTGACGAATTAATTACTGAAGGATTCTCCATATCTGTTGTTAATGTAGAAGAGAAAAATATTATTATATACCAAACTATTATTTCAAGTATTATCGCATTAAATAATGAGTTATAATAATTACCTTCATCATACAAAGCTTCATCATCAGTGGGAACAACATAATCTCCTGGAGCTGAAGAGAAAAGTAAAATATATGAAATGTGAAAATTAAATAGTTTATAATAAGGAGTCTGAAATAAACAGTACTATGTAGAAATACATTTCATATTCTTTAGATAAATTCCTATACTGATGTCATAGTAACTAGCAACAACATGATTTTCAGTTGAAATCATTTTATCATTAAATGCATTACCAGGCTCAGGATTTGGGAAATTGATTACATCTTTGCCGTGCCCATTATCTTCTTCATGGTCACCTCCATCTTGGCGTACACTATCTGACGAATCAAATACTGTAGGATTCTCCAAATCTGTTGTTAATGTAGAAGAGGAAAATATTGTTATATACCAAACTATTTTTTCAAGTATTATCGCATTAAATAATGAGTTATAATAAGTACCTTCATCATACAAAGCTTCATCATCAGTGGGAACAACATAATCTCCTGGAGCTGAAGAGAAAAGTAAAATATATGAAATGTGAAAATTAAATAGTTTATAATAAGGAGTCTGAAATAAACAGTACTATGTAGAAATACATTTCATATTCTTTAGATAAATTCCTATACTGATGTCATAGTAACTAGCAACAACATGATTTTCAGTTGAAATCATTTTATCATTAAATGCATTACCAGGCTCAGGATTTGAGAAATTGATTACATCTTTGCCGTGCCCATTATCTTCATCATGGCCACCTCCAGCTTGGCGTACACTATCTGACGAATTAATTACTGAAGGATTCTCCATATCTGTTGTTAATGTAGAAGAGGAAAATATTATTATATACCAAACTATTTTTTCAAGTATTATCGCATTAAATAATGAGTTATAATAAGTACCTTCATCATACAAAGCTTCATCATCAGTGGGAACAACATAATCTCCTGGAGCTGAAGAGAAAAGTAAAATATATGAAATGTGAAAATTAAATAGTTTACATATAATAAGGAGTCTGAAATAAACAGTACTATGTAGAAATACATTTCATATTCTTTAGATAAATTCCTATACTGATGTCATAGTAACTAGCAACAACATGATTTTCAGTTGAAATCATTTTATCATTAAATGCATTACCAGGCTCAGGATTTGAGAAATTGATTACATCTTTGCCGTGCCCATTATCTTCTTCATGGCCACCTCCAGCTTGGCGTACACTATCTGACGAATTAATTACTGAAGGATTCTCCATATCTGTTGTTAATGTAGAAGAGAAAAATATTATTATATACCAAACTATTATTTCAAGTATTATCGCATTAAATAATGAGTTATAATAATTACCTTCATCATACAAAGCTTCATCATCAGTGGGAACAACATAATCTCCTGGAGCTGAAGAGAAAAGTAAAATATATGAAATGTGAAAATTAAATAGTTTATAATAAGGAGTCTGAAATAAACAGTACTATGTAGAAATACATTTCATATTCTTTAGATAAATTCCTATACTGATGTCATAGTAACTAGCAACAACATGATTTTCAGTTGAAATCATTTTATCATTAAATGCATTACCAGGCTCAGGATTTGAGAAATTGATTACATCTTTGCCGTGCCCATTATCTTCATCATGGCCACCTCCAGCTTGGCGTACACTATCTGACGAATTAATTACTGAAGGATTCTCCATATCTGTTGTTAATGTAGAAGAGGAAAATATTATTATATACCAAACTATTTTTTCAAGTATTATCGCATTAAATAATGAGTTATAATAAGTACCTTCATCATACAAAGCTTCATCATCAGTGGGAACAACATAATCTCCTGGAGCTGAAGAGAAAAGTAAAATATATGAAATGTGAAAATTAAATAGTTTATAATAAGGAATCTGTGAAATAAACAGTACTATGTAGAAACACATTTCATAATCAGGCTACATATTGGCAATTACACACGTCAGTAGGAAAAATCCTTCAATTAAATACTTTTAAATTTTGTGAAGTTATAGTAATTGTGCCTTTTGTTTACAGAAATATATATATATATACATATATATTGATTATTAATATTAACATTAAGGTTTGTTTTAAACTTGGTAAAAAATATATCCAAAAACTTCAATTGATAGACCAAGTTAATTGTGATGATGATTTACACGCTTAAAACAGAGCTAAGTACATTATTAACGGGCAACATCTTGACTAAACAAAATTCGTAACCACAGCTGATTGAGATCGATTTTTGCGGAAATATCGTATCGTAACTGTCAATTGTTGACCACTATTTAGATCTGATTTGAACCATATGCATTATACCTTTTCAAAGCAATACATTTTCTGATCAAAGAAAAGCGTTTTACGGACACAGAACATATTTAAAATAGGTCAGTTCCATGAGCTACTCGTAGTAACTTTGAGTAACACTGTGTATACACAAGTGCGTTCCACCAGCAAATTTTCCTATATTTTCGTGTAAATTTTACTTGTATTTTACTTGAATTTTACTAGGAGTAGCTCGTGGAATAGACCTAATGTTGTATCAACAAATCAGAATAAGTGTTACTTTAAACACAATAACTTCACTTCTATTTATCCATATATCATATATTCTTCGACATAGTAAAGGATCTACCTCACCAACGCATGAAACTAGATGGTTTCCCTACAAGTATTTTTAAAAAAGCCATGTTTACTTTGATATGTGTACGTATTATACTAGAGATGGCGCGTTTAATTATTATTAATATTGTTAAAGTAGTTGTTGATACTTTTGGACATAATTATCATATCCCTGGAGGTAACGAACTAAAAGAAGTTAAAAGAAGGAGTACAGTTAAAAGAAATAATATATCTAAGAAACTAAAATATTTAGCCGGTGTTTGTTAGGGGGAAATGCGAAAATAAATCTTTGATGTTAAACACGTTTTATACGTCAGAGACATGAGCTCCACAATATTCAAGAAAAAGTTAGAAAATAATAATACAGTCTATATTGTTATCTTGTTTATAAACCGTAACAATTCAAATAAGTACAGAAAACGAATCTACAATTAAATAACTTATTCCATTTGAGAATAATGAGGGCGCTGTTACTACTCACAAAAATAATAAAAGAATTATGTCTATTTGTATATGAATTTTATAAATTTTTAAAGAAAAAAATTACCAAAGAGTTTAATCGAATCTAATACATTTTTAAGAACAACATTATTGGATTCAAGATTAAAAAAAATTCTCATTCGATTTCATGATTATATTTATTTGCCGGTGTCATTTATGGCACAACAAAAAAAAAAACAAATAAAAATATAGATGTGAGGAACGAGCTTAGTTAGAAGATATGTTTTGAAAATGTGAAGACAGTAAAGTAGTTATTGTTAATTAAAAAATATTTTTTTTAAAAATATTTTTCGGAACTAGTGGTACATCATCTAAGAAAAAAAGTCTTATATCACTATGAACATATTTAGGTACTATACCTTTGATTAACTTTACTTGTCCTATATACATTTTAATATATACAATATTTTGTGTGTATGTAATACGTATTAATATTGCAATATAAAATAATATATATTATTATATAATAGTTTAATAGTTATACTTCTTTGAAAAAATAATTTTTGTTTAAATTTAAAGAACTATTAAAAAGTAGTAGGTCGGGTCTAGGTATAAGTAGTATTAAAACGACCGGCCAAGAACTGAATCCATTGAGATGTCGTTAAGAGTATCGATTAATTAATTATTATCATATACTAACATTCCTAACCATATTATATTAGGTCTGTTCCACGAGCTACTCATAGTAACTTTGAGTAAACACTGTGTATACACAAGCGCGTTCCACCAGCAAATTTTCAAGTATTTTTGTGTAAATTTTACTTCTGTTTTACTCAAGTTTTACTATGAGTAGCTCGTGGAACAGACCTAATATAATATGGTTAGGAATGTTAGTATATGATAATAATTAATTAATCGATACTCTTAACGACATCTCAATAGACCTATTATATATAACCGTTTACTCGCTAAATTGTATGTGTATAATTCATACATAAAATATTCAGAGGCAACAGACATCATCTGTTTAGGTGTTATAAAAATGTACAACAAAAATTAATATATTTACTTTAATAATGAGTTAAGCGGTTCATTGCCTATGCTAATTTATTGTTCTTATATACATATAGTTTATTATTTTAATTAAACATTTTTGTTAAATATTGTTTAACATACCCAAAAAATCCTCTCCAGTCAACATATTGTGCAGACTATGTCTCAAAACTTGATTAGTTGAAGGTTTATATAGAACGAAACGTTCAGTACTTGAGTCATAATCCAATTCATATTTAGGTAATGGTGGACTTTCATTTATTTCATTTGATGGCTGAGCTTCGGAATAATCAATTGGTACACAATGTATTATATTATATTCAACTATTGGGTATTCATTATTTAGCTTATCATAAAATGTAATGCTAACAGTAACGTGCCCCAACAGGAAATAGTAAGTCAAATTAAATTTCGATTTATCACTAACTGTTGGCTTCATTAAGAATCTTTTATAATAAATGTTTGCAAATTTCGTTTCTGCTGTAATTCCTGCTTGATATTCATAACCACTCGCAAATAACTCTGACTGATGAATATCCGCTCCGAATTTATTAAGAATCTTATAATAAAAGTCTACCTCGATTTCCAAAAGATTCTTAATTTTTAATACAGGTTCCTCACAACGCAAATGCAATTCAGCGCTTATCTCTATCATACCAGATTCTAAAAAACGCCTTTTGCACCAAATATTATCACACCCATGAGATACCTCCTTAAACAATTGCTCAACGTGCACGTCCATCTTCTGTAAAAGTAAGAATGAAAAGTAAAATTTAAACTCTTTATGGCGCAAACAAAAATTGTATTTGACATTATATTTGACATAATGACTTTAAATGTCAAAAAAATAATAAAAAATATTCATTGCCTACGTAACGAAAAAATATTTTTTATTATATGAAAGCTAAACGTGCTTACATTCTCAGACTGCGGTTACATTGCATGCGAATTTGGTCTTGTGCGTTCGTACGAACAAATCAAATGTGTGTAATCATATAAGAATGGTTACAGTCGCTGAGAACTATTCGCGCGACGTCTTGTCTTTCTCGTGCGAATATTTGATTAAACAAAATATTTTGTTTGAAATTCATGCGTTCGTACAAATTCAAAGGTGTAAATAGTGAAATTGACAGGTGTATGTTGTTTTCACGTCATTTAAGGTTTATAAATGGAAATAAATTTGAAAACGTACAGTTCTTCTTTGTTTGAGAAGAATAGACAAACTCTACATTTTTATACCTTGAAGCATAAAAATCATGCTCCCAAAAAAAAATGTTGCATGAAGGTTAAATATAGCTTCAAACCTTTAAATATGTACTGAAAACATGTTCTTAACTTCGATTAAATAAAATCGATAGGCAAGTTGAAAAATCAGCTGTTTAAAATAAGAACAGCGAAGTGCTTGTGTTCGAGCGAAGTGCCAGAACACAAGCGAACTCGGATATGTGATTGCTCGCAGTTTCAAAAAGTTCTAATAATATTTAGGGGACTATTTTAATAAAACGAATATATGAGAATCTACATACTTTTCTCATATTAGCTCTATTATCTTTCCTCCGGTTGTTTGATTCAAATTTGTAATTTAGGTTTTTTGAGATTTTTTAATACCCTTAGTTTTTCCCAGTTACAAATAAACTATTTAAAATTCGATATTTTAATAATTGTCAAAGATAATACAAAAACAAAATTATTTTAAATTTGACACAAATCGGACAGCTCAATTTGTGCTATGAAAACGTATATAAAAATAGTTGCATTTCTGTGTCTTGGTTAATATGGAAAATGGCCCGCATACGAATTTCTTTGTGATTTTATTTTCATTACTAATTTCAGTTTAGTATAAGGGTTTTACAATTTTTTGAGTTGCAAAGACCTTATGTATTTTGAATTAGAGTGCCAAACTTACAACAACAACCCTGTCGCAAGCTAATCCAATTTGACAGTTCCAATTGTCAATTTTTTTAACATATTGCAGAATTATTTGAATTTTTTTAAAGTATAGTTCATTTTTAAGTAGATTGTTAATGTTATAATTTATTAAAGAACTGGTAAAGAAGCGCTTACATAAATAAAGTAATTAAAACAATGTAATGAATGAAATTGTAGCTTTATTCAAAGCTTGGGTGTAGGCATAAATGACGCTTCATATTAGCCCGTATATTAAGATGTTAATTTGTAGTGAACTATCTGCATTCAATAAGGTTCATTGAACTCCGAGAGGATATTAATTTGAATTTAATTCCTTACAGAAAAATGGTGGTGCTGAAATCTTGTTGGTCACCATTTATTTGGTCAAATTCAGTGAAAACTGGAAGTTATGCGGTGGCATTTTATACTGCAGCACTATCAGTAGTGTTTATAACTTTGGTAAATAAAATCAATAGAACTTATTAAACATGTTTGAAAAAAAATATTTTTGCACTAATTTACGTTACCTATACAAATTAACACTATATACCAGTATATTTTGTAATTTATATTGATAGATATCATATATGCTGGCTGGTGGAGAATCGACACAACTATATTCACCTCTGTTTGAAACAGATATACGTAATACCATGCCAATATTTGGCGGTATTTTCATATTTTATTTTCTGTTACTCATAATATCATCATATTTAATTTATTATGCCATTAAAATCTGGTGAGTTGCATTTATTAACTCACATACTTATAACGCAAAGAAATTAAATATTGAACATTATAGTACACGCGGTTGGTTATTGCCTTGGTTGATACTTGTTGGTTTGGGTATACTCTTCCAATTTGTTTTTGGACTTTGGCTAATTGGAGGTTATTATATATATGTAAGTATTTATGTATAAAATTTATTTTTGAAACTAAAACATAACATTAAACATAATTTTGTAAAATACTTAGTTGGAGCAAACATTTTCAGCATTACTTAACTTCTGTTGGATGGCTTATAATGTAAGTTAATATATATGTATATGTACTTTGAAGATTTACTAAATAAAAAATAATTACGTTACAGGCTTATTGCTGGCTTTGTGTATTCTCACAGTATCAAATCTTCTTAATAATACAAAATCCGAACATCGAGCTGTTAATGCCATAAGCATAACGAAGAACAATACATATTAGTGACATATAAAATACAATTTAAAAACATCACTATAATAATTTAAATCACCATTTTTATAATATAAATAACAATTTAAATTTATATTCATATTTATAAATATTTTATATAATTATGAGGAAGTCAACCTTTTGAATGAATGAAATTAACTTAAAACAAACTTTAATCTATTTCCACTAATGTTTATTTACGAATGTTGAAATCTTAGTCGATGACTGATGACTACTTTGGACTAAATTCAAGATAAAATATCAAAAATTAAAATTAGTAGGAAATAGATCTTTGAATATTTTTGAAATAGATCTTTGATTGAAGTTTCGCGCACTTTAGTGTTTAATTATGCTAGTCTTCGAACACAGCGAACCCTTCAAAAATTTTTGAAAACTATATTATGTTCCAACGTTTTCTTTTCAACAAAAAGAAGAAAATATAATATGCAACATTAATCAGATAAATTATCTGAACAGTTTAATCCAAATATACGAATTCTAGTATATTCGAATAGCTCAAACCCCATAAATATTGAACACTTAGAAATATTTGTGGAAAACAATCTAAAGTTTCTTTTAGTTAATTCAATTTATTTAAAAGGTTAACTTATCAACAATTACATCATTTTATACTAAGTATACTATAACTATTTATTTATATATATTTATATATTATATGATATTCAAATATTTGAAAACTGTAAGACTATGAAAATGACGTTCCGTCCTTAAAGTTCAATAAAAACGTATAAATAAAAGAATGCATATAAATCGTATTTTAATTTAAAAAAATGTAGTTAAATGCTGTTTTAAATGTAATAAATAATTTATAAATTTATATATAAACTGATATATATACATATATATATATATTTGAAAAGCTTATATGAATAGACTAAGTTCTTAAATTGTAATTGTAATTTATAGAATAATAATCTCACAGTAACAGGAACTCTAGAGCATCTGATGTGTAATTGCCCGGCTCTCTCGAGAACTCGACAAAAATACTTGGGAGCTTTCAGTTTTGCAGGACTGGAGTACATACCTGAGGTTTCTGTTGGAATCTTAATAAATTTTGCTAATGAAACGCGTATCTTAAGTGATGCTTACAATCGCTAAAAGAAGACTCTGATCTGGTATCGCAATGGACCTTAGTGGTCTACGCGTGGCCTTTATGGCCTGCCAGCATAATCTAATCTAATCTCACAGTAACAAATAAGCACCTATTTTTTGGTTATTATATTTATACTCTATATATATATATTTATATATATATATATATTTATATATATTTATATTTATATACATATTTAATCAATATTTTATAACAATTAATAATACAATTGAAATTATATATAATATAATTTTCAGATCAAACTTGAAATTAGCTACAATGATATATTTAAATAATATCCGTAACCCAAGTTTTTGAAACTTTAATAGATTTATGTTTGAATGAAACATTTAAAAGATTTAAAATATTGATATTAATCAAATGTATACGTATGTGAAGATATTGATAGAGGTTCTACGACCAGTAACATTTATGGCGACAAAAAAAAGTCGTTTAAATATATTCCCAACTTATATGTTATTATAGTTATATCCATATAATTTAAATTTAAAGACTTTAATAGAAATCTCAGATGTAGAATAACCTTTTAGACTTTAGTATAAAAGGGCCTCAGCCACATCAGCAACGACGCTGGATTCGATTGCAGAAACACGACAGTGTTGAATTTAGTGACATCGCTAGAAATGCAACTGCAAACTGCGCTTTGATTTGGGCAAACCAAATCTCAGACGGTTCATGCCAAAATGGTGGCACTTTCACGGATACTGTTCAACGTCGGCATCGTCATCACTGTCAAACTTTCCATTGCTGCCGTTTTCGTTATTATTGGGCTATTATTGAGAACCAGTGATCGCACAATTTCCTCATCCGTTAACTTACCATTAGAAGCTATATTTTTATCTATTGCTACATATTCACCCCAATCAATAGGTCTGTTCCACGAGCTACTCGTAGTAAAACTCAAGTAAAACCGAAGTATAATTTAAACGAAAATTTGCTAATGGATACACAGTGTTACTCAAAGTTACTATGAGTAGTTTGTGGAACAGACCTAATACGTTGTCCGTGTTCTATCTCAACGGACTCTCCCTCGTTGCCATATTCATCGAATAGAAAAAGTCTTTTTTATTGGCAACGCATTAATTTTTTCTTTGCGAATTCGTTTCTTAGATGGCGCAGCTAAATTGGACGATATTTATAGAAAATGGCAATTAAATTCTGTCAATACGAGGCGCTTAAGTGCAACAGGCAGCTTGGATGCAGTAAACTTAATTATTTTTATACAAATGAACCCACAAATGCAGAAAAAAATATAATTTAAGGTAACTATCTTATGGATGCAGCTAAGAAATTTAAATTTATTTGCATTCCAATCATAAGACAACAACCACGTACTGGTCAAAAAAACCCATTATTAAATAACTAAAATATTTTCAAAAATTATAATTTTTAATATTAAGATTAGTTGACAAAAACTAAAAAAAAATTGTTATTAAAAAGTTAAATTAAACCTGTATTAATTTAAATTTTAATGTTTTTATGGACTTTTAGATCAATTTCATTTTTATTTAGAATCAAACATGATTTAGGATTAAATTCCTAAATTTTATTTAAATTTGTGATAATTTATGATTATTTAATGAAACATTTTATTTATATTTAGTATTAAATAGAACCAACAATCTTGTTTTAAATAAAAAAAAATTGACGTAATTGACAATAAAAAAACATTGACATTGAAACAATCTTTGGTCATTAATAATATAAACAAAATTTTAAAAATGATATGGAATGCACACTGGTTCCCAAAGATGATCACTAAAAAAAATATAATTAAATAAAACCAAAGCTTTTTATTTTAATTAAAAATAAAATTGACTTAATGGCCTACAAAAAATATTAATATTGTTGGCCATAATAAGCAAATTATTAGTTCATTTCTTGACTTGATAAGCTCACAAAAAACATTAATAATAATTTTTAGCCATAAACAAATTATTAGTACATTTCTTGACTTAATAGCTCACAAAAGAACTTAATAATTATTTTTTTTGGCCGTAATAAATAAATTTTTAGTACATTTCTTTCATCAATAATAACGTAAATATATTCTTAATTTTTTTAAAACAAGTTAATTACATTTGTAGAAAATATATAAGTTAACGAGTTTCTTTATATATAAATGTTTGAGTTCACATAAATTTTACTGACCGATTCACTGTACTCAAGTATTGTAATTAAGATATATATTGTATAATATCTATCAATAACAATTCATTATTATTATATATTAGTGATTCAAAGAAATTCATAGAGCACTTATAAAAAAAAGGTTATAGAATTTTTCTTAAAATCTAAATTGACAACAACATATTTATTGTGTGTCAAAACCATATATAAAAATTTTTAGTTCCACAACACACTCTATTAATTTATATTTAATTAAATTATTCTTTATAAAAACTAAGATATTCCAGTAAAATTGTGCTGTTATGTCAGCTTAAAGAATAATATTTTGAATATTTAGTAGTTTTTGACTAAGAAAAGATTTCTTTAGAAATCCTCTTTGCCTGATATCCTGTATCTTAGTTAATGATGAAAACCAATCAACCAAGGCATCAACTACAAAGTCGTAGTTAATGCAATTTAAGTTAATGATAACGCTATAATGTTAACATATAATATATTTGAATATTGTCAACAAATTCATACTCATTTTACATTTATATACTTAGTTATACATTTTTTAAGCATACAATTTTATTGTAACGATTAAAATTTCACAAATTATGTAAATTATCTATAATACCATAAATCAAAATACTAATAATAATTTTTATGTATCTTCATCTGTTTCAATGTCTTCAACTATTTCACAGGCATTTCCCTCATCTTTTATGGCATAAAATTTTTGTATTTTAAGTTGTTCTTCTAAAGATGGTTCACCATAAATACAAAGACCTAATTCATATTTGACTATAACATCTTCCCAAAATTCAAATAGTCCCATTTTTTTTACATTATCTCTTACACTACGTATCCAATTATTATAATTATCAGTAGCTAAAAAGTCTTTACTAGACGTCCGATACGTTTTTAAAGCCTCAATCACTTTATCCATCATAATATTTGGTGAACTAAAAACTAAATCCCAGATAATTTTTTGTATTTGTTCAACATAAAAATTATATTTTGTATCACGCAAAGTTTGATGATCCAATGTTAGCACATTATGTTTCAATAGCTTCATAAAATCTGCAGCAGGTGTTTTTATACCAACTTGATCGAAGTCCAGTACCGTTACTGGTTCTTTATTTGTATTTATATCTTTCGCTTCGCTTTGATTTGATTTTTTATCTGGTATTGTTGCTGTCTCTAATGGAAATAGTTCTTTTACTAACTTTGCGGCTTTCTTAGCCTTTACTTCATTTGCGTCTGGTACCTTCCAATAAACATCGACAAAATTCTTATCATTTAGAATTTCTTGAAAAATTTCATCACCTGCATTTGATAAAACTTTGCGTTCTAGTATGTCCATCATTGTTTTTTCAAATATATGGGGAAGTGTGTCAAAGGGTAATAAATCCTTTTGAAAGGTTTCCCTTGGTATATCCGAATTATCTTCATCGAAAGTAAGATCCATTGAATCAATTAATTTATCAATCGCTTCAATTTGTTCTTTAGTGCATTCTGTTTTCTTTGAGCATAGTGGAGGAAATTCCCAATAGTTATACTGAGTGTGGAAAGCCAATTCTACCATTGAAAGAGAGGCCGGCTTATTATCCTCAAGCTAAGTAAATAAAATAAAAAATGAATAATAAAATACGTAAGGAGAACAGTGAATTACCTTATTCGGCAATAGTACAACAAGCTTTGGATTGTTGAATTTCACGCTATATATTTTCCAACACAATAAAGCCATATCCGTTTTCAATAAGGCCTTCACTAATGCATCCAACATTTTTGCTGAACTATGTGCATTTTTTTTATGTACAATCCAGTAAAGTGATTCAGTGCAAAAATATTCACTTGGAATTGCGCTTTGTTTGGTAAAAGACAAAAATTTTAACCCAGGCGTATATGTTTCTTTTTCTTCCGTTATTGGTTCATCAAAAGGTATGAAGGAACCAGCAAGCATATACCCATCAATCAAATCTTCATCTAATGGTGTTATCTTAGTGTCTTTAAGAAAATAAGTTGGGGCTCTAGATACTGCGTCTACTGAATCACTATAACATTTTTTTAGCGTTATTTTATTTTCTTCCTTAACTGCGATAACACCTTGTACAGCTATTGAAATTTTAGAACCAATAGACAAGTTACAGTTCCATGACCATGGCCGTTTGGTTTCCGTTTTTAATATTGTACTCAATGCTTCTGTGAAATTGCAGAGCTTGGCATTACAGTGCGATACTAAGCGTAAAGCATACTCTTCATTTTGCAATTGATGTTTATTTTTTTTTTGATCATCTGTGAAAACTGCTTGTGGAGCTCCACTTATTTCATTATCTATGTATTTAATGTTATGTGAGCTAAAGAAATACATAATTATTAGTTTAAACATTATGAAATTTTAAAACTAAAAAAACGAGAATATATATATATATATATATGTAAAAAGATTATTATTTAGGTCTATAAAGCTTTCAACATAAATTGAATGATCGAATGAATGGGTTTAAAAATTAAGAACAAAAAACCAATGACCAATGATCCCAATGATCTTAGACAAAGAATATAATTACATGTACCACAAAATTACTCTAAAGAGTAAATAAATTAACGCAGAAACTATTGGGTTGTCAAAAAAAGCCATGACTTAATTTTCCATATTTCTCGATAAACTTTTGCCATTTTTCAGTTTTTATAAGCAAAAGACTGATTCAGGTACCGTTATACAGCGTCATTTAAAACGAGAATTTAAAAAAATAAAAAGAAGTAGAAATTTGATGATGTAAAATCGAGAGGTATGACAATATAGAATGATTTTTGATGACTCGTCAACATTGTATAAGATCTCGAGTCGTCATAATAAAACACAGGACATTTTCGATTCGAATACTTTTGAGAAGGACACAAACCGAACCTCTTCCAGCAACGCCGATAATATAAATCGAAAATAATAAATTCTAGAATAGAATAGAATTTATTATTTTTGTATAAATGTGGAGTTTAAGCTTTTATATAAATAGAAGAAGCTTTATATAAGAGTCGAATATAAGAGACTTTTATTTGAGTAATAATTAAGTTAGTTTAGAAGTCTATAAATTATAATTAAATAAATAAAAACTGGTCTTAATGCGAACTTTAAAGTGTAACCTACAATAAAAAAACTCTAAATAACACTCTACCAGCCAAGATAAGGACAGACATGATGAATTAAAAAAATAAATATAATTTTTTAGAAATATACAATATATTTTATGAAGTAAACTAATATTTTTAGGACATTTTGTTAACAAAAATAATTAATATTTTGCAAATAAAAATTTATGTGTAAATTAAATTCCAATTAAATTAAATTTATATAATTAAAGTATAGCTGACTCGACAAACTTTGTTCTTCTCTATAATGTAAGTAATAAGCTGTTTTTTTTCTTAGTGCCTGTTTAAAAAAGTCAAAAAAATGTATTATGCGTACTTCAAACAAAACTGAAACCTATAGTTTTAGGTGAAGCCTAAAAACTTTTATTAAATTCTGATAACTGAAAAAACCTAATCAGAAAAACACGATAAGTCATCGCTTCTAATTTGACCGGCGCGAGTTCTAAGCCTGGTACTTGCCATCCAAACAAATTATATACGGACTATAAACTAAATAAAAAACTCGAATATTTCCTGATAATGATAATGAGTACTTAGCAATACTCGAACCAGCGTTGTATGGTTAGCGAAACCCAAATAAATTAACTAAAATTTTTGTTGTTATCTTTTCATTTCTATTCGAACTCTTCTAATTTTTAAATACTTTTTTCATTTCATAAGAAGAGTTACTTTCGGCAAAAAAAAAAAAAATTAGCATTAAATAATCAGATTCCTTTAACTTGTATAAGTTAATAATCAGATTCCGTACATTTTCTAAATATAATATCGAAATTCAACGAATAATTACGTCTAGGAGTGGTCATCAAAAATTAAACAATAATAAATTATTGTTTAATTACGCTGACGGAAGGCTAAATGTCTGTATCTCGTATCTATCTGCTACTTTCTTTATTTTATATATTACCACTTTATATCATATTAAAATATTTTTCGATTCGAGAAACACTTTTAATTTTAAATGTCGCATCATTAAAAATTCTTTATAACCAAATAAGTTTGAAACTTGTCCAAGTGTTTTTTGGTTTAACACACATCGCTTGTGGTATCATATTTTAGATTAATAATTTAATAAATAAATTACTTACATGACTGTTAAGCCAATTTCATTCGTTAATATGTATTTTGATATAATATCAAACTTATCATATTCATTACTTTGCCCATTGAAATCGTAGAAAAGAATTATGCGAGAATTACTTAACTTTCCTCTGGAAAAAACATAATTAAATGAAAGGTGCAAAGTAAATGAAATAATATTTAATTTACTGATTTTTTATTAACTCAGCGGCTACAACTAAAGCATCAAGCCAATTTCCTTCATCACAAACTTCTTCATTTACATATTTGAAGAGGTTCATCAACAATTGCCAAGTGCTAACTTGAACCTCTGGATACTGAACAATATTCTGATAGCCGTCATTGTCGACGCTGTTGTTAGCGTCGTTAAAAGTTCGTGAAGTTCCAACAAGGACGAAAGACACAAGATCTGTTTTTGCTGCACACATCTTTTTCGATCATTTAAAAATCATTAGCAAAAAAATATCATCCTAAACTTTAGTGTTTACCTTATCCTTTAAAAATTCCGCAGCACATTTGACTGCGTTTTGTTTAAATATCATGTCAGAGTTTTCGCGCACATCAAGCACAAGTACCACACACTCCTGAAAGGAATTATTGTATATATTTAACGATTTTAAATTTATAAATATATATCACCTTATTCCATGCCATATTTATTTGAATCAAGAACTACTTCCTATATTAACCAAATTGTTTGAAATAATAAGCGGCAATTTCTGTTGTTGTGAAATTATATATGAAGTGACAGTTGGACATAAGCAGTCACACAACAGCTGTATTAATGCCGGTTTTCAGCATAAACTGTTTACACTTGCAAATGTGTTTGACATTTGGATGTTGTGATTGTTAACATTTTCACATTTTTCTAAAACTATAAGATAATAAAAACTAAGACAACCAGTGACATTGATCAATTAATGACAACTAAATTTAATTGCAACAAATTTATTGATGTCCATATATTAGCCGTAATTTTTTCTTTTAGAGTTGCAAAAAAGTGTTTGTAAGTGTTTGAGAAAATTTTGTGCAGAAGAATGGAAAACATTTTTGCCTTTATATATGAATGCTTTGTCATTAAGCAGCGAAAAGGTAAAAGAGTGCATTAGCGGATTCGAAGTCTTGGGTTTTCCACAATGGCTAAGTTCTTAATTTACTATTAGTGACACATATTAGGTTAGGTTAGGTTACTGGAGCCATCCGAAGACGCACTTAGACCGTGAGGTCCATTGTGTTACCCTTAAGAATTTGACACCTGTCACTATAACCATTTAGTACTATAACTATTTAGTACACAAGGCTCTTTTAATGAATTGAAAAAGTGCGATCGTAAGTAGAAGAGTCTATGTGTTACGAAAGCAGGACACTGTAACAGAAGGTGTATTGATGATTCCTCTTCGTCATCCTCAATACAGTGTCTACAGTGCAAGGAGGTCCTGATATTGAGCCTCAAGGCATATTCTCCCAACGGGCAGTGTCCCGCAATAATTCCCAATATCTTAGATAAATTTTCTCGAGATGGGAGATGATCTTTTCTTACTAATTTCTGGCCAAAATTAAATGGTCATGGTCAACATGGTCAACAGTGACCAACTGTTGGTCACATCTTCTTCTAAACATCCGGTGTACCTAAAGTGGTATATCCACACTTTCCCACCACCTGACAACCTGCGCTATCTAGATCAATAAGAAGACCGTTAACTGCAGTAAGCCATAAGTGGTGGGAGAGTACTCCTCCTTGTGGAGTCTCCCTATTAACCTTTTTAGTTACTAGTGTTTCCCCCACTGCACTACGATTGTCCTGTCAACCAGCAGTTGAGTAATGACTTCAGTTACTCCATTGTCAATTCCCAGTCTTCTTGATGAATTAACGATTATTTGAGCCTCCTAACGATATTGAAAGCCGCTACCACATCTTTGTGTTGTAATCGTCCCAATTAAAGTTGATAATGCAGTCTCTACAGACCTTTTTGGTATCTGGTATCTCTTTCCTAATAAAATGTTTCAGAAGCCTTTCTAAAGTTTTTAAGAGGAATGAGGACAGACTGATCAGTCTAAAGTCTTTGGGTGTAATGTGAGACCTTTTGCCAGCTTTAGGAATGAAAGCGACCTTTGTCGATCAAAAACGGTCCAAGGATATATTGCAGGCTTTTGCAAAGGTTTCCACAAGGCTATCTAGTGATTAGGAAGTCTCTACTTCTTCATCAGGACATAGTGGAAGTAGATTTAATAGATTGGTTCGATATCTACTCCACTTGGCATTACGGTAGTTCCAATAAGGTTTCTCAACTGAATATTGCAGATCCATATATGTAACGATTGGTCAGAGAATGAGTGTTCATCTAGAACTCTCCAATCCTTAACCTCAAGATCTGTGGATAAGGTAATGTCTAAAACTTCATTTCTGCCTGTAGTAATAAATGTAGCTTCTACTCCTGTATTGCATATATGAAGATTTTAATCTACAATGAAATCAAATAATGACTAACCACTTTCATTAGTGTCCGAGCGTCCCCAGATCGTATGATGAGCATTTGCATCGGTTCCAATCAGTACACCAGTCATCCTTTCTGCTGCAGTATGATGACACCATCCATATAGTTTTGCCGTCGATTTCCAGACTCACTGCTGTCTGGTCGTCATCACTAAAATTATTCGAACAGAAACATTTAATGTTCTTTTTAACTAGCACACATGATACTGGTCTACCTGAATCTGTGTCGCTGATGAGTTTATAGTCATTTGTTCTGATTCCACAGATCCAGTTTTCCAGTATCTATGATTCCTGCATCAGAACAATATCGATAGCTGATGCAGCTTTTGAGTGATAGAGGTTAATCTGCAGCAACTTCATCAGGTACTTTAACCTCCACCACCATTTTGTTAGCCTCGTCTGGGAGCCCACTCTCATCAAATAGGTTGCCTAGAGTGGTCACCGACCCCGCATCTGGCTTGTCTTCATGCATAGGAGAGAGTGTATCCACCTCTATCTGACCTAGCAGGTCTTCGCTCTGATTTTCCTCAATAATCTGCTGCCTTGACATTGATCCCTCAGCCGGTTTTTTTAAGCATGGGCTGGTCAGACGTAATCTTCTCCGATTCTTCCGTAGAATCGGTACCATAAACTTAAAGGTTTACCTTCTCGAAGCTGTAGGAGATTACATACCTAACCTCCGTTAGCGGTTTCAACGACTCCGCATTCAATACAAGGACAGCTTGTTTTGTCGGTCCAGCGGTTCTTCTAACTTAACTACCTTCCAATTTCCAGTTGGAAGGTTAGGGTTGCAGATTCTGTTGAGTTTTAAAATCTGCTCAGGGTCGGTTTGTTTGATTGGGACCCAAACCCTGGCCCTAGGACGGCTCGCATCCAAGCCAACCGACATCTTCATAGGAGGAAGTAGGTCCTGGGATTTCTTCCAACACTTGAAGGAAAATGTCTGCCAACACGACCGACACCCATTTCCATTTATCCTTGGGGATGCTCCCCTCCTCGCCACTCCGATCCAGGATACCTAGAATGAGATTGTCTTTCGCAACCTCGCTGTACAGTCGTGCCGGTACAGTGTGAACTCTTGGTTTCTTCGTAAGAGGGGGTTTTTTCTCCTGAGATCTTTGCCTTTCAGAGACTAAATTCGGTTTGGAAGCTTCTTTATTGCTTGATTTTGCCAAGACACTTTTACCCCCTTCAAGGGATGAAGCCTACTGTTGGGTGACTTTGTCGGCTGGAATCTCGCCTACGCGCTGCAGGATTCTTGAAGCCATACGAAGGTCAATATGGGCCTTTTTGAAAGGGGGAATTCTCTTCGAGGATCTGGGTCCTGAATTGTCAATGTTCTTGGCCGTGACAGAAGGGGTAACGCACTTTCCGGTAGCAGAAAGTTTTGTAGGTTTTTTGTTTAAACTTTCCATGTTGATGGGTCCCAACTCAGTTGCGCTATCTCCACCCGACGTATAGTCAGCCCAGAGTTCAGACAATCCATAGTCATTATACAAGCAGTGTCAAAATATAGCCAAGGTTGCCGTTGAAACCATAGTGGCCATGAAGGCCGTTAATCAGAATTTTGCCTCGCAATAACCAATCCGACAAGGAAGCCCCTAAGGACACATATTAATTATGGTCAATATTTAAGATGGGTGTCACATTGAAATAAAACTAAAGTCCAAAAATGCTATTGATTACTACAACTACAAAGCGTGGTATTCGACCGTTCTGTCTGCTCTGCTAGATTTTAGGCAACTATTATATTAATTTCATGTATAAAATAATCAAAATTAATAAATGCAGATACCGACTCCTTTGCATCAGTTTCCTGATATTAATCTGAAATAATATTTTTTAATAATAATATTAATATTAATAATATTTTTTGTTAAATAGTATATGATATTTTATAATTATATTAAATATATATTTAATAAATAAACTTATTTCTATATTTTTATGTATTAATTATATATTTTATTTATAGAAAATGTTTAAAAAGTTCTTATCTGTTGTTTGTTTTGAATTTTGATTATTTGTTTATGTTTACATTTTGTTTCATGTGTCAAATATGTCAAATTTCGATCATTTCCCTGTTGCATTCGTCATTTTTGGAATAATTTTGGACAAATTTTGTTTTGCTATATTCTATAGTAAGTGAAAAAGCACGAAAGCTCTTTGTATGGTTAATGAAATTTACTCAGTAAGTTAAGCTTACTAAGTAAGCAGTGTAAACGTACTATTATAATAAAAATATTTCAACGCAACGTACATACCACGTCCATTGCATTAAGAATAGTTAAACCAACTAAAGTTATAAAGTAACTTTTCAATTCAAACAGTAATCATATGCTGTTACTTAAATCAAAGCTGATGATCAAAAAATAATACAATTTGCTTTTTATTCTTGTAAGTGAAAATACATCGATGTATTACTTTATAGTTCACATTGTTATAAAACTGCTTTCAAAATTGTTGATATGCTTTTATTTAATTTATATTTGAACAATTATGATTTAATACAATTTATTTTACTAAGAAACATTAACTTGTCCACAATACATATTACATTACTCTGTCATATATTAAGAATATAATTTAAATTAACCCAAATAAAAGTTTATATTTTCGTCACCCGATTGATTTTACTTTATTAACTCTATATGCCTTTTTATTTAATTAATATATGATAAACTACGTTTCATTACAATATCCCGATCAATTTGAAAGTTTCTAGTGGTGATAAAGCAGTATTGTCATAAGATACACAACCATAAATTAGTTTAGGTCTAATTCGTTACTTATAAAGCAAGAGTTTAATTTTTCAAGTTCAAATTTCATTGTATTAATGGTTTTAGAACAGTAAGACTTATGTTATGATTGCAGCTAAATTCACCAAATGTTGTTGCTTTCAATGCAAACTGAAGTGAGCTGTCAGTGTCAAATTTTCATTTTGCATTGAAAAGCAAAAACAATTGGGTCACATGTCCGCAATTATAACATGCCATTAACCAAATGTATTAACTGTCAAAATTTAGACCTAACTTTTTCACATTATCTTCTCATTATATTTCCATAATTTTGACTTCTATTTTTCTTGGATCTTAATATTTTTGTTTTGTAATATAAATAGTTTTCGTTTTTTCAGCATTTATCTTAATTCTCCACGTTCTAAAATATCTAATTATCCTGTAAATATTTAATTATTTTTTAACAATAAATATGTTGAATTTGCAGAATGTAAATAAACAATAGTATTCGACTTTTCATTAATTGCAGTTCATCAAAAAAGTCAGCTTGGGTAACTAGTTTGGTAAATTGCATTATTTATATTTATTGCAATCAATCAATGCCAGTTTGGGCAGTTCGTAATATGTTAAATATGCACATGTTACACAAATTATTTAGCACACATTTGATACTTTAACATTTCAGCACTGACATGAGTTTAGCATAGAGGTTTTAAGCGGCAGTGAACTACAATAACAGAAATTAATTCCTTACCGTTCGAAACCTTTCTCTTAAATACAATAGTTTCATTGAGTAAAATAGTCACTTCCGTCATAAGCGACGTTAAAATGCAATTTAATGAATTTAGCATGCTAAATAAAAAGTGTGAAGAAACTGTTTTGATACTTTGTTAAAAGAAAATCATTGATAAATTCGAATACTCCAACTCAATAGCACACAGGTTAGTTTTTTCAGATTCCCAAAATTATTGTCAATTTCTATTTGAAAAGATTCAATAAAAAAATTAATTAAAGAAAAAAAAACTTTGTTAAGCACTTCATGTACAAGTTGTGAGCATGCATGCAGTTATGCTTCACTTATACATTCAGGACTCTTCATTACGGAAATTGACAGTGTGTAGTGCGTTTTAAATTATTGGCATACCGCAATTTATAATTATCGATAACATTTTTAAACAAACCAGGATTATTTTGATTTGCTTGCGCATTGGAAGCGGTGCTGGTTGCAATGCCGAATATAACAAAAAATATAGATTTTAATATGGAAGTTGATGTCTTGACATCCGCAACTGTTGCAAACGTTGTAAACTCAATTCTTGAATTCCTTTTGTATCAACGAAATCAGATTCCTTTCGTGTATAAAACATTAAAACATTACACTCAGTTGTGGGAGGACCAAAGTCAAGACGATGAAGTTACGACTGTAAGGCAGTTTAATATAAATAGACAAAGGGATTTAGTTAAAACGACGAAGGATTCAATAAGTGAAATGCGTCAGGTTAGTCACAAAAATTTCAAAGGAAAAATTAATTAACCATTTTCTTTCCTTATTAGCTAATACATACGTCATTTCAAAACAACATTATAAAAAGGTTGCGTTTCCTATTTGGTACAACGACTTTAACACCGAGAGAAGCCTATACAATACACATACCCACAGAGTCAATAGCAATTAAACACTATTATGAGCATCACCAAATGTCGCCAGCAGCGCTTAACAAGGCTTTAGTGTATGTGCCCATAATAAATACTTAGTACAAAATTAAAATAATCTTAATTTACAGTAATTTGGTAACAACGCAGGAATTGTATGATATATTTACACACGACTTAAACACTACAAATGTTTACTTAGAATTAGAAATGGTAGATGATATTAACGCAATTAACAGCTCCCGCATGTTCCGTAAAACAATAAGTCAATTGCCTCAAAGCTGCAAAGACATACATTTCCACTTATTGCATGTTTCCTCTGCCAATTTTGAAAACAATTCTCTAAAGTGCTGTAAGGAGCTAAAAATATTTGAGGACTCCGAAATTTTAGAAGTTACAGAAGATTGTGCAAATACAAGCAATGACACAAGTTTAGAGCAAAAACAAGATCAACTTGAATGGTATGAATCTGAAGTGATAGTGCGTGGTTTGAAAGATAAAACTGTGCACGGTATGAACATGTGGAGAAAATAATTTCTTATTTCCGAAAGCCGACTGATTCTAAAACGCATGCAATACAAATTATTTTATTACATTTAATCCACAGAAATTTTTCGATAGTGTTATATCGTATTTCTAATATCCCATTTATTTGATTTAAGAGCGGTTTGTTGCTTGAAATTGGAATATTTTAATCTTCGCACAAAAGTACAAACAATATATACAATTATAAATTACATGTTATTAAAGATTTGCACATATTAATGATGTTTATAATTCAGCAATAAATTATTAATATATCTTAGTTATAATTATTTTTAAACTTATTAGTTTAATGTTTTAAAAAATTTATTTTGAATTAGTGGAAATAAAATAAATCAAGATGGCAATATAAATGTATGCGTTTATGTATTTATTATGTAGACTAGTCTTCCACGTCTTTTGTTTATTTACGAAAACATTATTTTCCAAAAAATTATTTTTCTTTATTGTAGTATTTAAAATAGCACAAAATGTTTATAATCTTATTGCTATAGCCTGTTGAGTCCTAAGAAAGCAAGTTCATAAAAGAATGACATGTATACAAAAAGAATAAAAAGGATTAACCTCCCTTAACGTATAAGAGTTAAACAGGATAAGGAATGGATGTTAAATTTTGTAATCACAGTGACTAGTTAGATGAATGATATGTTTAATATAAAGTTGTTAAAATAGTAGTTAAACATTTATTATCCAAAAAATTAAACACACATAATGACAAAACTTGCTCAATCATGTGGAAAAATTAGCAAAGTCGAGATGTTATAGCACTTTGTATTGTGAATTCCATTTGAAGCGTGTTAAATCTGAGTTAAATACCGCAAAAATGGAGGAAAACGAAAGTCTCTTTCATCGTAAGGTTGGTAAGTTCACATAAACCGTTCTCAAAAAGTTACGACCAATTATACTCACATTTTTGTTCCAAATAACACTGGAGAGATTGATTTGTGAACACATAAGAGAAGTTATCCTTAGTGGTAAATTTTTCTCTTAACGACATGCGAATACGTAAACCACATCTATATAGAAGGCAGAACACTCGCTTGTTAGGCTCGTGAAAAAATCCTTATTGATAAGGAATACTTAATGGTGGATTTTATAGATATGAAATTAAAGTCAAACACACAATTGCTTTGAAAGCCGTAAGTTTACCAGCATTAGTTACAGAGCCTTTAGTCACTCACGTTGACTACGCCACAACAGGTGTCGATGTATGCATATAAGAAGAACGGGATTAATGTATGCTATGTGGATTATTATGGTCTCTACTGATCTTGATGCCATTAGGATGTCTATCTGTGTGTCATGTAAGAAGTAATTGCTTATTATATTCTTTATTGGTACATAATAGTTAACTGCTAAATCAACATTAATAAAAAAATTAAATATTAAGTTTTAATTATATTTAATACCAACACTACGATTATATCACTGTGAAATTTGGAAATGTAAATACTAAGCTTCTTATATTTCACTCTCTGCTTACTGTAATGCCATATCACCCACTAGGAAGTCCTTCATAGTCTAACAAGCAAGACGTTCATAAGATTATAGCACTCATGAAAATCGCATGTCTTTGAGAAGTCTCATAACAAAAAAAAAAAAATATGCATATAACAAATTCAATTAACTATAATAGTTTGGCTACTACATCAATTGAAACTTAATTATGCATACCATCGCAGTTTAAATATACAATAGATATTTAAATCAACCAAATTTTTTAAAGTTCAGCAATATCTTTAGTGGCATCAAATGGGGCGGGGACTGCGCAAACAGAATTGATAATAAAAAAATACTTATTATTCACTGTTACAGTAGTATAGCTTTAATTGTTGATTCTTCGTCACAGAAATAACTTAAAATCGCATTTCTAAAAGCACCGCAGAATAATGAAGTAATTCTTAACACTTCATTGGATACTATATGCAAATAACCCAAATTCATAAGTATTATTTATACATTATAGTATGATAATTATATTCATTACTACTTAACTGAGTAACAATATTGACTAATCAAAATTTCAAATATATATAATTAAATAAAAGAGTCTTCTTAATTCAATTGCATCATACACATTTAATATTGTATTCCCAAAAACTTTACGTATTCAACATATTTCAATTCATTCGATAACAATAGTAACTTAATTTACATTTTTTAAAATTAATGTTTTATTTTAAATATTTAAGCGTTTCCAGGGACTACATACACAACATTCAAGAAAATTATAAAAGATATCAGTTGCATAGTTTAAAGTAAATAAATTTTAAACTAATGCGTAAATGTACACTTTAATCCACAAAAAAAATTTTAAAAATCTAAAATTGCACTTTGTAAGTGCGTAAGGTACGTAATAAATAGTTTTAAGTTTCCTAATCTATGACTATTGGCTCCTCATTACTTTCATCAACCAACAAAACATTGTAGAATTCTTTCACAGGAGGATATTCCTTGTTTAGGAAAAGCGTGCAATCTTTGCCAGAGCATGGGCCCAGTTGCCGTCTAACCATTTGCGTACGCCAAAAGCGCAGTTTCCGCTCATCTAATAATTTATTTCGTAAACGAAAAACCCACTCATTATACTCCCATGGCTCAAAAAGTGCCGCATCCAATTTATTAGCTGCCATCAAATCAGCTGCCTTAATTTCGTTATTAAGTCTATCAGTCTTTTCTAAAAATAGTAGTGTCCACACGGTATTGCGAACAGCAGTCGAAATTTTTTTGTAATTAGCTAGTGCGATATCCTCCGAAATGATGAAATCAACATTTACCCTCTCCTCCATCAGCTTTTGGTAATCTAGTAAAGGGGTCCTAGTTCCAATAATAGCTTCAAAATCAGTAATTTCCTATAAGTAGACATTTTAATATTCATCACTTTTAATATTTAGTACATTTACAAACTTACCTCCTCAGACATAACCGATTCAAATTTTTCCACACAGTCTTGTTCAGAATTGTGAAAATTATGTATACCAGTTCCAAACTCAATTGGACCTAAAGATTTTCTTACTATATGTTCTTCCCATATTGTAATCATTTGTCTGTTCACCAATTCATTACGCAAATTTTCTAACCATTTGTTATATTCCTGGAGTCCATATGTAGCCGCGTCACATCGATACGCTTCTATGAGTTCACAGGCCATGAGCACATCTTTGTTTTCGAATTTCCCAGTATCAAACAATATTCTCCATATTGCACATTGAATTTCTTTGCCAATAGATTTGAATATATTAATGCAATAGTCTATATTTAATCCGTTTATACTGAGCATATGCCGTTCCACTAACGCCTTATAGTCCTCCAATGGGTTATGTATTGATATGCCGGATTGCTCCATTCCAGAAGTTGTAAAAAATATAAATTTAAATTTATAATAAATATTAAAACATAAATGTTTTGGCCTTTTACGAATACATATATTTTTTCCTTATCATTCTAATTATTAACGTCATATTAGTCTGATTGAACTCCGGTATTGAGAATTTTTATATGAATAACATTGTTACTAACAACTTTGAAATAATGGAACAAATACTTTTGCATTCGTTGCATTACAATCAAATCATACCCTATTTACACTTAAAAGCACGAAACCTGTGTTGCTTCAGTTCATTGCAAAATATTTGCGTATCAGTAATATCCATAATTAAAATCGAGTAAACAATACTATTTTACTTATTTATTTTTCAACACCCAAAATGAGTAATAAAAAGAATTTGTTTTGTTTCGGACATTGTTTTAACTTTCGGGCATCATAGTATCTTTCTATGATGCATTAATTATTAAAATTAACATAAAAAATTTAGTTAATATTTTTATATGACACTACTCCGGTTTTTTTCATTGGATACAAAATTTTTTTTTATTTATTTTATCAACGCATCGTTGGTTTCTGCCAACCTTTTCAAGGGTATCTGAATTTTTATTATATTTAATATATAAAATTAAATTTATAAGAATAATCGTAATTATTTCTTTCAGAGTTATAAAAAAACATCATGAAGTCTGGATGAAACAAATTGGCATCACTTTTAAAATATGTTCAATGCTTTTTCTGACATATGTTTTTTGTTGTGTTGTGTACAATATAAAATATAAAAATTTTAAACTCTTTAAATTAATTTAATTTAAATAAAAGAAAACAAAATGAATATTAAAACACAATGGTAAGCATTTTTATCCTAAATATTTAAATTAACTATTTTATCTATTTATTTTAATTATTTATTTAGTAAATAGAATGGTCGTATAATTTTAACGAATGAATGGAATTTTGCAACATATTTCCAGTGAACAATCACAATAGACTTATTTTTAAATTTGACTGCACTAAAACTTAAGACATAGAAATTTTTACGGGTGAAACCTAACTTTGAAGATTTTAAGAGCATTATTGTTGCTACACATGTCTTAATGTCCTTAAGATTTCGAAGAAGGATGATGGCTCCGATTGTAACAACTACCAAGATATCACGCTGCTTCCGTGCTCAACAAAATGCTCACTTCGGTTTTACTATCTCGTACCTTGACAACCACAGAAGAATTTCTACGTGAGAAACAATATGGTTTTAGCGAAATCGATCTTGTATCAACCTGATCAATACTGTCCGCATCGTGTTTAAACAATGCAACGAATTTAGGTCTTCTGTTTGTGCAGACTTTGAAGATTTCAAACTTTAAAAAAGCCTTTGATAATTATATTCAAATCTTTTTTTATTATGAAAGTTACGTCAAAAAACAAAACAGTTTCAATGCACAAATTATTATTGTAATTTCTAATTTCACTTATGAAATACTTATCTAAACCTTTGTGTGAAGCTGTAGACTTTCTGACCACGTATTTCTCCTTCTTTTCATTTTTTTTTGTGCTTGAAAATAATATTTGACTTAATTAAATCCAAAATCAATTAATTAAATAACTACTGTATGTTTAATTTGTGAAAACAAAAAACTTTATTAAATATTTTACGAGTACATAGTATTTATTTTTTTTTGGCATTGACTTGAATCCATCTGAAATAAACAAATTTCACTTAATAATACATCACACTCAAGAATTATATATATAACTGATATTTTAAATCATTTATATATATTTTTTATATCAATTGCATACTTTACATACTTACTTTCTCAGTGCGTTTGTTTACAGCTCAAATTTTTATTTACAAATAAAACATATGACACATACTTTAAATTTCGGTTATTTTCCTTTTGGGAAATTTATTTTCAAGGGTTGCATTTGACATTTTTGGTCTAAAATGAGCTGATTTATTGTAAATGAGCTCATTTATATAAAAGCTCTTTGTATGACGAGTCTTCCTTAATATGCAAAAATCGTCTAAATGAGATAGTGTGCGTATACTATAATACGGCATTTACACTGGCCGAAAATAGCTCATTTGGTCAAAAATCAAAAATGAGAGCGCATAGCTTATTCTTACATACAAAATTTAAAGCACGAATGCAATCCATTTCATCACATTCTGTATGAATTCCACATATGTTCCAAATAAAAAGGAATACATTGAACATACCCTAAATAAAAGCTCTTCATGACATTTTGACAGTTTGAGAAAGCTTTATTTGACATATTTACAAAAAAAGGTAAACAAATGTTTGGTGGTTGCATTTTCTTGAAAACGATGAACCTCTTTTTAGAACTTCTACTTCCCAAAAAGTATTTAATCAAAGTTAAAAATATGTTTTCAATATATATTTTAAGGTTTGAAGGTATATTTAACCTTCATGCAACATATTTTTGTACACAGGCCAAAAATCAAATCAACAGGCAAGTTGCAAAATCAGCTGTATTAAATGAGAACAAACCAATTACAACGAATGTAAATACTTTCAAATGGCTCATTCAAAATGAGCCATTTTCGGCCAATGTAAACGCCATATAAGACTATTATTGTATTTCTTATCCCAACTCCTCTAATGTAGAATGTCAAAAACAGCCATTGAAATTTTTATTATTATTAAAATAAACGCAATTTGGTACAGTTGAACTTAAAAAAGATATTATTTAATATATTATTTACTTTATTTTAAAATAAATTTTTACATAATTTGCTTTTAATATTATATTTTACATTATATAAATTTCAGAATACAAATATAAAGTAATAATCAATTTTTATTCTATAATCTTAAAATATGTATATTGATTTGACATTATCGAGGTAAAGTCTCATACATTTAATATGTACAAATAAATATGTATTAATTGTTTTTATTTTTAAAGTGGTCTAATTGGCCAATTGTTTAAATAATACACAATTTTCTAAATTATTTCAGAAAGTCATATATTATATATATAAATATTTTGACTATTATCAATATGATGACTATTATATTATAATTATCTTCATGGTACTGTTATTCGATATATCAATTCAATTCAACATAAATAACAAAGAAATAAAAATAAATCTAATACAAAAATTTAATTTGGAATTTCTATTCGATGAAGGTCAAAAAGTAAAGCGTTTTTTGTTTAAAGAGTATTTTTTAGTATATATACCCTGTATATTCTGTTGTCAAAATCAGCTGGTCATTATAACACACATTGAATGATGCAATAACTTACATATACAACTATCTCGTTCTTACTTTAATAAATTTGTCTTTACTTTGTTATTGTTGCTTTTTGATGCTATAAAAAACGTTTTGTAATTTTCAAGGCAATTGCTTGTCACAATGCACTGGCAGGCGGAACGTTAATCGTTTTTAGTAGTTTAGTTTAAGTTGTTTTCATTTTATAAATTTTCACTGTTTTGTAGTTAAAGAATACTAAAACTTAAAAGATTGCCAGACCGATAAGTGTGTTTGTTTAATTCAGAATATTACAGTGAAAAAATTTGTATAGCAATTTGAGTTATTGCAAAAAATAAGGTAACAAAAAAATAGCACCCTTATAACAAAAATGATCCAAAGAGAAGGATGGACATCACGTCATTGATTACGACACCTAAGAAACAAATCCACCCTCTGCACAGGTTTTAAGAAACAAGAAAATGTAATTTATTCCATAAAGAAATACGTTGAAGCGGGTTCAATTTGTAGTGCTAATTATGCATTTAATAACTTGTCACCAAAATGAGCGGTCAAAGTGAAATTAAATATAATTAGATTAAAATAACACAAGTCGTGAATTATTGCAATAAAGTTAGACAATCAAATATTGTTTAAATTTCTCCATTTGATTACGCTTTTAAAAATTAAACTAAAATTTCAAAACAAAACCTGAAACGCTATACATACATTAGTCCTTTTAATTTATTCAATAAGCGGCGCAAGGAAACTCACAAAGCATTGCAGCTTCACGAAATGTCAAAGTGTACGGCACCGGAAATGTAACGTACACCACACCATAAAGGTGAGTAATGTACATAAAAAGTTATGAATAAACATTCAAATAATTAGACATTTGTAATTTACTGCCACAAACAAAAATATTTAGTATATAATAAAACCCCCAAAATGTTTGCCTAAATCGATAATTTTTTTAAGAAATAAAAAAATTCTTTATAATTCTTAAATTTGATTTATAATTAAATTTATATACAAAAAGCATATAGAGTATCGAATGTGATATAGTATATTAATATGCAAATAAAAGTAAATACATATTTTAAATAATATATAAAATCATTTTAACATACTTTTTCGTGCTTATGATTATCCTCTTAAATTTGCTTTGTTCTAGTTTGTTGTTGTGTGGAATAAAATATTCTATAGCGTATAGATATATAAACTTTATATATTTATCACCTCGACTATCACCTCGATTCTTTCGAACATTCTACTACTTGAGATAGACGAGTGAAGGATTTTGCATAGAATTTCCATCAAAGGACCTTAAAAATTTATCGAATTGACCAAAATCAGATAATATTTTGTAACTGTCATATAAACTCAACAATCAAAAATGTTTAAACACATGTATTATAAGAAAAAATTTTTTTATTAAAAAAATTTCAAAAAGTTTTCATATTAATTTTGCTATACTCGTACAATACTTTTGAAAATATTGATCCATAAAAATTAGATATATAGACTAAAGTGACAAGTATTAGGAACTTTTGTATTTATAAATATAATAATTATAATTATTATATCATGTATTGTTAATGAAAATAGAGTTGTCCCTGCAATATAATTAATAAACGCCAAAAAGGCAAGGAAACAGACAGATGCATATGTATAGATTGACTTAGAATATGTACTATCATCACTAATGATATCTCTTAAAAGTACTTGAAAACCGAAATTAAAAACAGCTAATAATCTTGTGCAACTTTTTCACTGGATATTACAAATTAAGTAATGTATTACAAATCAACTATTACGAGAATTTGCTAGGTTTATGTTATATAAAACTTGTTACTACCCTTTCTGTTCACTGGTACTAGCAATGCGTAGATACATATTTGCTAACATAGAGTGTGATGTACTGTTTTGTATTAGAGTCAAACATTTAATCTAATATTCGCTAAGATGACGAAAGCTCGTAGACAATAACCCAAATAAAATTTGTTGAATTCTATTTAGAGAATAGAGTCAGATATCGTACTATAGATTATAAATTATTCTATTAATTAGAAGCACTGAAATTCTAATAAATTAAAACCAATATTTTTCTTTATTATATACTTCAAATACTCCAAGACGGCACTCTATTCTCTCTATATGGTTCCAGAAATTCGATACGTGTTGTATGAACAATTTGTTAAAAAAATTGTTTCACAAGTTATAGAATATTGATATACAAAAAAAAAATTGTGAAAAAATGTTTAGATAAATTAGAATTACCGAACATATTTGACTATTATTTTTATTTATATTAATATGAAAACTGAATTAATAGCTGAAATAACTAAGAAAACGGAACTGGACTGCTAAGTCCTTCACCCTAAAGAGTAATTTTTGTAAGTAATCATAGTATTGGATATATAGGCCGTGTGCAAGTTCGAGTAAATTGATGGTTAATTGATGGAAATAGTAATTTATGTCGATATGACAGCGAATGTTGGTATTTACCAGAATTTCGAGTAGGTTATATTAGATAAAAATTAAGTAAATTAGGCGTTACCATTGTGATAATATTATAAGGTGTTTAATAAATAAATAAATAAATTTAAAAACTTTTAACCAAAAATAATAAGTGCAATAAATAAATACATAAATAAATAAATATTTATATAAGTGCAGTGCAAAAAAACCCTAGGAAATTTTAATTAACTTTACCTCAACTTACTCGTACTCGCACACGGCCATAATATCATTTGAGTTTAAAAGTTAATTTTAAATATATATATGTATATAATTAATATAATATATATATATATATGTAATTAATATAAAATATATATATGTATATAATTAACATAAATATATAATATATTTAAAATATGCTTAAAATACAATGAATGAAATAAATTTGATTCACAATTAATAACATAACCTTAATGTCTTAAGTCCCTAATATATTTTATCATTATAAAATTTTATTATATTAGAAATTTTATTACATGCAGACTTCCTATTAATTTTAAACAAAGTAACGATAAGCAAAATATCAAACTTTTTTAATTGCCCTGACGTATGTAATCATATGTCTGATATTTACGTACACACACTTAACACCTTTAAACATAAACAAACTTTTTTCAATTATTTAAGTAAAATAATTTTTTTTCTGTCTTTTTCAAGCTTTCCGTATTGATTTGGTTTCTTGTGTACGAAGTGCTGCTTTTTTATATGCGATTTTCTCTTTCGCTCTCTCTCTCGCTTTTGCCACAAATAAAAATTTAACATAAGCAATGCTCTCCACTCAGCAACTGATCAAAGCTCTATGCAAACTACAAAGCAACATTGGGAATAGTGATTTAATGAATATCTTAAAACACGCGGCAAATACAACAACAGCTTTGAGACCAGCCGTTATGACATCATTATTGACAGCACATGATGTGACGTCATCAACATCATCTACACATGCATCGTCATCTACTCTCCTATCAACATCACCAAAGCAACAGAAGCAACAAGCGACCGATTCTAGTCAACAACAAAATGAAGACAATTGTGAAATTATACATACAGTGAACTTCAGTCTCGTTCCGCATTCAGACGAAAGTGGTGCAATTTCGTCTTCGGTTAAGAACGCCAATACGCAGGATTTAAATACAGCACCAATAGCAACCGCTGTAACCTCAGCAACTACCAAAAATAATTTGAATTTGTACGTTAATCACAGTCAACAGATACAGAAATTTTATCGACAACAACAACAACACCAACAACAATTTCATACACAACAAAATCAAAGTTTGTACGCCAAACAGAAACAAACACAATTTGCTATGTCATCGCTTGCAGCTGAACCACTCGTACTAAAACAGGACGACATTGTCGCTACAAACGGCAGCAATGATTGTTGTATATCATCTTCAGAGAATGGAGGAAATATTACCAAACAAAAAAACAATTCATCCTCATCGACGTCTGGAAAACCATGCTTCAGCACAGGACTTGGCGACATTTTGCAATTTATGGAGTTGATTGGCAATTTGAAGGTGAGTAAAAAAAAAAATTTAATAAAATGTGTAGTGTACAGTGTACTTTCAAAACAACAAATACTACTGCTGCTACTGCGGGGGTGTGTGTCTATGCTGTATGCGTAAATGTCAGCACATCACATCGCATCGTTTTGTGTTTACCAATTAACATATGTACATATGTACGAGTGCGTCTAACAAATCGATTATTTTTGTTTGCCAACGAAAATTTTTCAATTTTGACTGAATTACATAAGTTGCTATAAAGTCGATACATATTTTTGATAAATATTTATAATTAGAGACAAAAACTCTCCGTATCTTCTTAAAATTTGCCAAATATAGTATTTATAAAATAATGGAGTTTGGTAAAACTGCTGACTCATACGTATCTATGAACAGCAGGTTTGTAATGCTTGATGTGCCTTTTTATTTATTTATTTATTTTTTTTTTCTTCGTTTAATTGCCATACAACAGAGCACGTAAATGTTTACCTGCTTAGTTTTTATATACTTCACAATGTAATGTAGACTTCTGTTTTATTTATTCTCTCATATGTGCGCTGTAAGCAATTTGTATATAAGAAGCAGATTATTAAACGCGGGAAATGTGGGGTTCTATATATATAAAGAAAAATTTTAGTTTTTACTATACATTAAACCTACATAGTTATCAATGTAACATTTGTGTGCAGCAAAATAGCAAAGAAAACTCGGAGAATAGAGAAATTAAGCAAAAATAATTTTTAATGTGTGGATTTTTGTTGGCAGGAATTCCTTCATTTCCTGCAACTTCGTTGCTTTGATATACGATACATTGTGAAAAAATCAGTTATATTGTACAATATAACTGAAAAACTAAGTACTCTGCTTTTATTGAATAAGTTGCTAACTTGATTGAACATAATGGCATTGAAAACAAGAAAAAACCTCGAAGTTCCAATTGTTTGATGTGTCGCACATAAAATAACAACAATCAAGGTCTTCTTTGCTCAAACGCGTACAGTACATCAAAAAAGTTTAGCAAAAAATCCATATACAGACTTTATTGCTTAATACCTAACTTTCTTTTTAAAAGACAAAAAAAATTAGCATTTTATGATATTAAATGATGATATTAATACACAATTAAAACAAAGATTATTTTAAAACCTTTTTTATTTTAAAACCTTTTTTATTTTAGATGAAATATCATGGTTAGGTTAGGTTGGATAGAAACTGTCTCTCCGTGCTCAAACTGACTTGAGCTTAAATAATCGCCTATTGTGATATTCCGAATTAGCTCCCCCATTCAAGTGAATGTGATTTAACCTGAAAAATCTCTAGAGTTCACCAATTCCTTAGTTCTACAGGATGACAGCTCTGTTAGGTCAGCAAGAGAAGGGGTCCAAAGATTTTGAATATTTTCCTAACCAATGATAGATACTGATATATGATGTGAAGTACATTATCCTCTTCATCCCCAAAGCCACAACCCCGATAAAAGGCATTATATGATATACCCCTTGCATCTTATGTATTTGTAATATGCAAGAAGCCGTTAGCAGCGAAATTTTGGTGCAGTGCAGGTTAGACCTTAGTTAAAGTAGTACGGACCAGAGCATGAGATCTCACAAGAGGGTTTATCTGTCTAAGTTTCTTTAGCTATACTCAGATATTTTTACCTGATTGTCAGTTTGACGTTTGCAAGTAGAATAATTATAATCGTAAAATGAATGTCGAAAAACAGTAACTTTTTCAACAAATGTCAAAAAGCTCTGCAATTGTCCGAAATGCCCACGTGTCTAGATATACATGTGGGCTGGACACCAACACGACCAGCTAGCTCATTAAGAGAAATCCTGTATTGTCGAACTATTAATGGTGTACATTGATTATCATTGTATATTAGAAGAGAAATCCTAGTTTTAACCAAATAAACGTGTACAAAACTTTTCACAAACATATATGTCTTTCTGGGTTTTATATATTTCATTCTGATAGCACCTTTGGGCAAATCTGTCAAAGTTTTGTGATGAATTTGTAAATATAGTAACATTTAGCAACTGTAGTGATAATTTTAGGACCTTAAATTGAATGATGAGTCATTCTTGAAAAAGCACCTAGAAATGTGTCATTATCATAAATAATGACCATATAGTAATGATCACATATATTATTAGCCATTTAAAGCCAACTTTTTAATACTGAAAATAAAAGTTTTTCTTCAATTTGTTCGTCCATTTTTATATCAATGCAGATGAGATTATCATTCCCAAATCACGAACCTTATTTCAACCACATTTTACTGTTTAAGTTATATGATTTTCTTGCAACACTGCATTTGATTTTCGTTATTATTTAATGCAAACATAAGAAGTTTGTGATAATTCATTCATTAGATCCGTCATTGATCAATGAACTTCATATTGTTAAGGAATTTATTTTTTTTTTTTCTCAAACCTTAATTTTATTGTATAGGTAAACAAATCGTTTTTTAAGATACTGCAGACACCAAAATCTTTACACTGTGGTGTAAATGGACTTCTTATATTAAGAAGCTTATATAAATTAATATAAAGAAGAATTAGCATTCGGAGAAGTGGGTTTTGACTAAATTTAACGTAAGAAAAATACTTTGAGTCCATGACGGAAACACAATTTTAGGTCGGGTGCAAAAAAAGTGAAAATGGTTAAGTTTTAATAACTCTTCAAAATAAAAATCAATGAAACGTCAATATGTAACAACTGTTACTGCTCGATTAAATCGAAAAATTCATATAATGAATTGACTTTTTCTATATGTCAAGCCAATAACTTTACAGATTGCCTTAATATATGAGTATATTGTTTAGAATAAAGTTCTTTATATGTAAACAAAAAAGAAGTTTATAATAATTTTCGTAAAGAATAAACTTATTTAATGGTTTTTAGTAGTCAGAATAAAGCAGTTCTAGACTGATATTTTTCGATTTATGGATAAGTATAATATTTTTATTGTAGTTTATTTAGAAATTTCACCAATTTTTGTAGTAAAATGAAAATCTAAAAACAGAGAATCTAAAAACGATTCTGACAATAAGCCCCACCATTAAGCCATGTTAGTTTTAAAATATAGTATTTATGTGTATTAAAAGAAGAATTGCCTATAGTAGTACTAATGTCCCAAAAATTCTAATTTTTGTTCCAAAATATTAAATAAAAATAAAATGTTATTTTTACTTTTTTTATACAATTAAATAGATCTTTGTTCTGCATATAATAAACACTGATGTGCCAATACGTATGACCGATATATTGGTCATGTGCTCTGGGGGAAGCAACTCAATACTTTTGCACTATTTTATTAATATACTAACGTTTCCACAATCGGAGAAAGAGAACGAGTAAGATGATTTCTCGTTAAAACCGCAAGTTCTAATTTTAGAGCATTTAATGTATGATAAAATCAGGTTCTAATTTCTGAGCGTACCATTTCTAAGAGTTCTAATCTGTAGGGTTCCACTGTATAATTAAAATATATATTTGATTTATATTATTATGAGTAATTATTATGTATCCATATAGGTTTTCTTTTTGTCTTAAGCTGTGTTAACCAAATGTTTTTATTCAAAATATACAGCACAATATTAAAGTTTATTACTATTATTCAAAATATTGAGCTTTATAATTTAATATTAATGACAATGTATTTTTGCTCCAACACTCAATTTCGAGTAATATTTTGTATCAGTAAAAGATTTTTTTTTAAGATTATATTACAAATAGATAATCTATTCAAAGCAGAACCCTTCTTGCACCTTGTTTCTTACTAATCGTGTTCAATACTTCAAAGTATGAGGTATAGAGAGTTTCGATTTCTGCGCTCTACTATGAATGTCAATATTTTCAATAAATTCAAATTAGTTTTTATCCTATCAAGGTTAATTATTTAATCAATAACTATAAGAATAACTATTTATTCTTCATATTTAAGATGGTTTTAAATATAACAATATCCTACCTTAAGATTATGGAAGATCTCTATTTTGGATTCCTTTAGATGCAAAAATATTTTTTCTGAGTTAGCTTTGTTGGAAGGTTCGGGGAGTGAATATATAAACGTGTCCTACTAAATTTTAATTAGTTATTAAAAAAAATAAATTGGGTTCTATTTAAATAAAAACTCAAAAAAATTAAATTATATGCAAAATTAAATTTCATTTCGTTTTGAAAAATTGTAGTTTAGTAGTTTTGCTTCCGGGTTTAAAAAGTGGTTCTGTGAATGATCTATGTGATAGATCATGATCTATGTGATAGATTCTATCTATGATATTAAAAACTTGAAGATAAAATCAAACTGAATGATATGATTTGTTTTTAATAAATTAAGAATCGTTATTATTCTGCATATCTTTTGTTTGTTTTTGAACTATTATAATACTTTTAGCGTGTAACCTAGATACTTGTATTAGCTGGTCAGTGAAGGAAAAATAATTTGTAGTTTCATTTCTCCCATTGTATTTTATTTAATACAATGTTCTCTTGCATTCGTTGTGATTTTGTTAATTGTTTATATTACCGCATAAAAGTTATAACTTCATATTAAGTTGAAAATTGTACAAATTGAAATTAAAAAAATCAATTTATACAAAATTCGTTTTATAAACGAAGTTTGTTTACTTTTTATATTTGAAAATTAAATTTGATATCGTTTTTATCTAATTTGCAATCTATCATTGCAATAGTTATCGAACCAGCCATTTTTCAAGGAGCGTGGACAGACGGATTTTCTATAAGGATAAATTTTATCTATAACATATGACTCCATAACATATGACTTCACACTACACATATATGCTTAAATGTAAGATACATATATATAAATGCAATTAACATATTTATGTATATATTTTTTGTAAAAGATATCCTTACAAAACCTTTTCATTGTTTAACAAAAGTGTCTCAAAAAAACTTTATTCATAAATGTTACAACTATTCATAGAAATAAAAATAGTTTTTTTTTCTGAAATATACAAAAAGATTGTAAAGATTTTGCT